GCTTCTAACCTTAAAGTTTTTGTATACATGAAAACACCTAGGTGGGCCTGAAAGGCCCAGGGTATACGTTTGAGGGTTAAGGTAGTTATATTACCCTTAAAACCTGTTTGAAATGTATTCAGTGTTTCAGTTCTGTAATTGGTACTACTTGGAAATCAGGAACCGTGTTTCAAACTCCAGTAGCTGTTGAAGGAATTAATATCCTAAACTTCCACACTGTGAAATGTAAAGTTACTCCAGCAGCAGCTTTAAAGTTTGATTGGAATTAAAGTGGCCTTTGAGCTCCTGAGGTTCCCTGATGGAATGAAGTGAAAACAAAACTAAAATGCGTTTCTACCTTATCGCAGTTAGTGACCCCTCACAATGATAAAAATGTTCCAGTAACAAGATTCCTAGGCGTAATAATTACCCTAGGTGACATTTCGTAAGTGTGACAAGTTTAATGTCCACAGGGAGTGGAAGATCCGAAGCAGTTCCAACCGTCTGTATGTCAACACTGGTAATCTGTATTTGCACAGGATGGATATGGAAACATGACTTTTTACACTGCTGCAGTGTGTATGGAGGCACTGGTAACAGTTGTTATACAGCTGCAGTGTGGATGGAGGCACTGGTCACAGTTGTTATACAGCTGCAGTGTGGATGGAGGCACTGGTAACAGTTGTTATACAGCTGCAGTGTGGATGGAGGCACTGGTAACAGTTGTTATACAGCTGCAGTGTGGATAGAGGCACTGGTAACAGTTGCTACACAGCTGCTGTGTCGATGGAGTTCATGGTGATGGAGACGGAGACGCGTGTTTCACTATTGGTGACGAGAGGTGATAACAATTGCAACCACGATGGTAAGTTTAGAAAATAACTAATCAACAGATTTAAGTATTGGTGACGACGACCTGAGTAGGACAAGAACCCACTTCTTACTCATTTCTGTGACAGGAAATGTAACCCTATATTCCCTAAAACTGTTATAATTAAGGAATCCACATCACAAGTGTACCCAGTGATGAAGCTATAAAACGCCAGATTCGTATCAGGTCTAATTAGCTGACAAAATTGGATCAAGTGAAAAAGGAAGGAAGTTCCAAAGTGATTTGAAGTAAAAGTCCAATACGTGACCATTCTATCTCTGAATAAATTCGTTAAACAATCACCTTTTAAAAAATAGATTATTTTCTCGGACTTCATCGGCCGTGCTAAGGAGGAAATTCTAAAATGATGTGTGCCGAACACGAACTTGACTCTTAAAAGAATGTTATTACCCGTCTAGCCTAAAGCCACACATATGAAGTTGGTCGTGATCTGTCCAACAGGAAATTACAACGCTGGCAAAAAAAAAGTGATTCCCTCTTTCACTCTCCCCGCCATGAATGCGGTGCTGATTGCTTGAAGAAACTACTCATGGCACATGCGGAGATTACTGCGATGGATTAAAACATATTTTGATTGAAAGTAACAGTTATTTAGTAATCCGAGTCTTGCCTTGTAAACCTTTCCTTGATTGATATAAAGGATGTATGGACTCACTCGGTACCAGGGAATGATGCCGAACCATTTCTGCAAAACATACGATGTGAAAATATAAGGCGTTTTGAATTTCTTGTCTCTAGAAGGTCCCACTTTGATGAATGAAATGTTATTTTCCCCTTCAAATGCGTAAAACCGTACGTTTTAGATGATTGCAAGAGGCAGCACATTGAAGTGCGCGTAAAATAGAGTGGTTGCCTACTGGAAAGTTTGTCACGTTCTTTTATGAGCTCCGTGGTATACAACAGGCAGGTCAGGATGTACAGTCACCCAACATAATGATACATTGAAGATTGTGTTTTGTGCTGCATACATGTTTGCAGAAGAAACTTTATGATAGAGAGAGCGCATGTACTGACCTATGTAATAGTATTTTTGCTGCTGAGCATAATATGTGAAGGCTTATATTATTGTCGGAAGCGTAGTACATATATTGGAAAAATAATTTTCGTCGGTTTTATAACATGTACTTATCAATAAATATTAAATGTTCATAGATTAACATGATTCCTTTCGAACATTTACCGCAGAACGTTTCAGACTTTGTTGATAGCATTGACATTTCTTTGATTCTGTGGTTAAAGTATCAGCAGGAATACAGATATTCATTGACGACATTGTAATTATTCCACGTAAAACGATACTTATCCTATTGAAAAAATGTGTGTGGATGGGACTGCACTTAAAAACACTGCTTAAACAATACTGCTGTCATGATGAAAGTTGTTTCGAAATCAACAATACTCTGGCCGGATTACAGCCCACGACAGCAGACATACAGACAATTAACAGATGACTAAACCTCATTGAACGTGTGAAACAAGTTTATCAAATTACAGATACAACTAGAAAAACTTTCCAAGAAAACGATTAAATGTCAGGTTGTTGTTAGTTTAATTCTTCTACTCCACTACGTTGTATTATACTTTATCAGGCTTGACACAGTTTCGCTTTGTCGACTTTAAAAACTTTAAAAATAATCAGCAATCAGCAATCAAAATATTCATTGTTGAATAACCCTCAGGGATAGATTGCTTTAGCACTTACAAATAATTCAGTTGAATTTCAAGGGTGGTGAATGCAGTATTTATTGATTTTTTGATAATCCTGGAAGAAAGACACCTTTAGCACAAAAAATAATCCAGATTAATTGTACATATATGTATATAACTAAACCACATATTTACATGCCATATTTTGTGTTTAACATATTCATGAAGACAGAAACCACTGATCCAAACAAAATTTTAATGGGATAGACAATGTACAATGTATCGAAATAAATTCAACATTCCGCTTAACAATTTCAAAATTGGCAAAATCCGTGAACTAAAAAAAGAGTTCAGTATTTTTCTAATGCACTGTTTTACTGTGAAGCTATTCAATTTTGTGTTTAGTAATACCTCTATTGCTTTAAAGTCAATACCTGTACAGAAGGTATCACCAGAACGAGTAGCGAAACGACGAAACTAATACAAACATAGAACTCAACAGTCCATTGCAAATGTGATGTTTAATCATTGTCTGAATACTTACTTCCGTAACGACTAGGAAAGTTCGGGAGAGACGGAAAAGTCGAAAACTTAAGTAATCAAAGTGTAGCATCGTGAAAGACAGTCGAACAAATTTTCATTATGGGAAAGACGGGAGGGCTGTCTGTGAGAGGAAATTGGTTGGCTTTGGAGACTACTTCTGCATCAGCACGAGTCACTCCCACGTAACACGAGCTTCCAATACTTCACCTACAACGGTTTTCTAATTATTTTGTACTTATGTCGATCTGTTTGGTATCAAATCCCAATCATTTTATACCGGTCATTTCTCTGTCTGTTACTGTACGGGAAAGGATTTGTTTGTTGAACACTACATCTGACAGTACCAATCGGTAGACAGCACGACTTACTTTTCTAACCTTCCGATAAACATTGATTTCACGGACTGGGGTAATGTATTTTTATCACACTGGACATAAATGAAAAATGCTGGTGTTGAAATGATTTTCAGGACCAAGGAACACTGAGAATACAGGGATACAACAGAATAGTTAATATCGAAGCTTCGTGTTATCCTGCAGTCATCAGCTTAGATGTATTTGTTGGGGGCTAACAATGACACAAACATTCCATGTGAAGAAGTGTCATGAATCAAAGGCAGAATTTCTGCTTGCAGATGGTGATGTCTGCACCTGACATACTGGAAACATTCTGTGTTGTGGAAGTTTTCAGAACAACTTGCCCACGACGTTGATGTTCATAAACTTTCAAGAAAATTGAAAGTATGCACTTGTGGTGGCAGAGCATAATTGCGACTAGTAATAGTATTTAGCTTGAGATGTATATGATACGAATACCACAGTTGTGCTTTCCATCTTTATTTTCGCAGTCGTACTCAGTGTGAAATTTACCCTAGTAACGTTAAAAATTATGGTTTGTACTTTCGTGGCCAAGTCCATTGTTCAAAAGACGTAAAGGTTCGTTAGCCAGTTAACTGAGAGAGTAAGTCTTAGCACATATCTAAGACAAGCATTTTGTGACTGAATGCAGTAGCTAAATGGATTTATCTGAAGAGGATTAGTCAACAAGTAGGAGCCAATAAGGTGTAGGAATATACAATTATGCCATGTTTGTTTGGAAAGTAAAACCACATCACGTAAATCTGGAATGGTATTTTCTCTTTATATTTTTTTCATAATATTTGAAACACGACATGTTATTTTCAGGAGGATTTTAGCAACTTGAGATTAGCATAAACTTAGGGAAATGTACAAAATGTGCAACTTAAATATCGTGTTTTTTGTGTATGTATTTAAACTCAAAAACACACACTTGTATACGACATCATCATTTTCCATGAAGGGATAATCAAATACTAGTTAAAGAGTGGTCTTAACAGTGGTAGGTTAACATTGCTGGAAAGTGACAGACCTTTGAGTAAAATACTCAATGTCACGTTCAACAATAACCACCATGTATTCATGATGGGACAGGGGTCGAAAGAACGAAAACTTCTGGCAGATGTTCAGCTATCCCCCATATCATGGAACACCTTCTTGGGGGTTCTGTCCCTACTATGACATGGAAAATCTTCTGGTAGGTGGTCTATCCACTATGTAATGGAAACTCATGTGGCAGGTGCTCTATCCACTACATCATGGAACATCTTCTGGCAGATGCTCTATCCACTTTATTATGGAAGCAGCTTCTTTCTGAATAAAGGCAAAGCTAGTATTATCTTGCCTCCCACAAGAATGTCGTTTTCTGATTGGCTGAGCGCTCTTCTGTTATTTTCAATGTACCCCGCTTACAAGCGAGTGACATTTTCTATGTACCCCGCTGGGAATGCCGATCTCATTTGGTACTTCGTAGTGGTACTTCTTTATCTCGAATAACATTTAATCACGTATGATGTACGGAAATTACCGATGTTTTGCGAATGCAAATCGATGAAAGGGAGTTAACTCTAAATTAATTTTTCTTGTCATCTGGTACTCCATACTATGATCCGCTACTCGTGCCTCAAACAGTTCAAAATTACCATTGAGGTGTTCGGTAAGATAAATACGTCGTTCACTAGTCCCTCGGGGCCCATAGGTTGATGTACCCCTCGAGACCAGTGAACAACTTATATCATGACACCTGTTTCTTTGTTGACCTAAATATTGAACCTATAGGGAACCTGCATGCATACATTACTGCGGTATTTTCCAGGTATGCCCAACGTTTGCATCCCTCATTCAAAAGGATATTTTATGCCCCAATTTGAACTCATGACAAAGTAAGCCGTATCTGCATTATCATGTACTGTTTCTTGCTTAGCCATGTCTTTCGGACCCATGCGAGCTTTTATCCGGCCGTGGCATTCAAGAATTCCACCTTGGCAGCAATGGATTGTCCATAATAGAAACAGAGAGCCGGGGTAAATTCCTTTGATCCTCAACGAATGCAATATTCTTCGTATCAATCTACTTCCAATCTTTGTTTTTCCCTTGACATGTGGACGTCATTCTCCAATTTCTCTCTGATTGCATTAAAATCACTTGTGCTTCAATGAGAATATAAAAGGTAGCACTACAATCAATACCCAACAATCAGCCGAAGATTGAACCGTGTCTCTTTGGATTAGAGACACAAGGTTAACCCTGTAACTAATGACTTGTGCATGCAGCGAAGACATCATGATCTTTGCAATTAACACGTTTGTCGTGCTGTTCAACATCGAACAAAATCACATAAAGGATTTAGTACACAAAGTACCTTTTCAAGGACGATGTCCTCCTTTTATCGGCTAAAGTGAATCCAGGGGGATGGAATGTTAAGCTTGTGGTGTATGTTACCTAAACATATTAACGTTATGTACGGGCATGATGGGCGAGCTGTCTTAGGCGCCGACCTAGTAAGCGAAAGAAGATCTATCCCCACTTCTGACCGGGTGTAAAAACCTTGGAGCTAACATTAATTGCAGGCAACCCCTAGTGTGCAGTACACATCCCTGTGGACTTAACAGAACGCACTCATCCGACGGCAGGTGACTAGATGGTGGCCACACGAACACGTGCAGCCACCTAGTTGCGGATATAGTAACGTGCAGTATCTGGGTACCATGTGAAGATGAGGCTGTGTGATAACTCGCTGCGCCTAACAGGCTGCATGAGTTGAACACTCGCCAGGGAGTTGAAATGGTTAAAAGAATGCCAGAAAAAAACACATCCGTTGATCAAAGGAACACTCAAGCGCCTTGAGCATGTACTAGTTGCGTGGATATGTGCTCTATATGAATATCCTATCATCATCATCAACGTTATAAGCAGATATTGGGATTATACGGCGCAAATATTTCACAACAACATAAAGCTTGTATTCTTCGGTTTACACCGTTTAACCAATCACATCTTTATTCATTCAGCCAAACTGAATCCAGATGGATGGAATGTGTTGATATGTATAAACGGTGAGGTAGGATGATATTGAACATATTAAAGATTCTAAGTGACAAGGTATTTCATCAATGTATATGGTTGATATTGTGAATGCAATCCACATCGCAAAGTACGAGATGCTAAAACATTTCGCCAAATAGTGTCATGAATTCAACTAATCACATTGTTGCCGTCATTTCACCTGCATGGACAATCAGTAGCTCTGAAGGCGCAATTCCATGTGAGGACACGAAACAATATACCAAACAGCAAAATGTCGTCAATGTTATCCTTTAAAAGCTTGTCTGTAATTAACCGTTGTAAAAGGTCTGTTAATCTCTGATGTCGTTAAGAATTGAAAGATGGCATTGAGATTTGAAAGCAATACTTTCTTACTGTCGGTTAGAAAACGTAACGTGAAAACAATATAATTTTCAGACAACAATACCTCTTTCGTTTTTCGTTTCAAGTACAAGTGTGCTGAACCAGTCAACAAACACATTTTTCTTCAATTTTGTCAGTACGTCCTACCGGTATTATCTCCCACTCACACAATGTTCACTGCACACAACAATATTCCTGCTATGTTGCAAAAACACTGGACATCTGTGCGAAAACCTAGCATTATTCACTGTACAAAATCATTTATTTTTCTGCTTTCTCTAATGCTGACACTGGATTTAGTCTGCTGGAACGTGTGTTTGTTTTTCCAAGGATGTACGTTGCTATATTTCATTAGTAGTCATGCCTGATTCCTCTCCCACATAATATTACCTCTGATTAAATACATCTGTGTGCTGTGGTCGCAGAATAGCTGCTGACAGAACGGAATCAATACCGAGGTGCAACTAGGCAGCGACTCACTGAGACAGAATGTTGACTTTGCAGCAAGAACGTGTTAATGATGATTGCATTCGTGAAACACACATGGTCTCAGCATTCAGCATGTCCCCTGCGCAGATCGATATAAGATTCTAATAAATAAGGTACTTAAGTTATCCTCAATACCTGTTTGCTAAGTATTCAGTGTTTCAGTTCTGTAATTGGTACTACTCAGAAATCAGGATGCGTGTTCCAAACTTTAATGGCTGTGAAAGAAACACGTTGTGATTTTTGCCACCATATCCTCTACACCGTGAAATGTAATGTTATTACAGCAGAAACGTGAAGCTTTGATGGGAATGAAAGTGTCTTTTGAGCTCTTGAAGTTCGGCCATCTCTAATGAAATGTAATGAAAAAGAAGCTAATACGTTTCTCCCCTGTTTCCAGATCAAAATTGTCGATCGCCCACTCAGGTAAAATAGTTTTTCTTACAAGGTTTCAAAACGCATTAATTACTCTTGATAGGGGTTGGTCTTCCTGAAGTGTGACAAAGCCACTGGTTGATCCGATGCAGGTCGAACAGCCTGCATGTCATCATGATACTGGTAATCTGTATTTACGCATGGCGGCATTTGTAACAGTTGTTATGCTGTTCAGTGTGGATGGAGATCGTGATGATGGAGATTGAGATGCGTGTTTCACTATTGCTGATGAGAGATTAAGGCAATTACAACGGTGATAACATGATTAGAAAAACAATTCGACTTCCCGAAAATCAAGTGAAATGGAACCACTTTGTCGAAGACGATGACAAGAATTTGGAAAGAAATCTGCTTTTCAATCTCTTCAATATCCGAACGAAGTCTCTGAGCTCCTTAGAACTGTCACAAATATGGATCTCGTGTCACAGTAATGACCTCAGTGATGAAGATGTGAAGGTCCTGATACGTGTTAGGTCTAATTTGCTGATAAATTGGATCAATTGCTAAAAAGTAAGGAGTGATGAGGTGACATGAAATAAAAAAAGACCAATATGTGATTATTCTTTTAATTGGAGTGAGTGAGTGAGTTTAGTTTTACGCCGCACCCAGCAATATTCCAGCTATGTGGCGGCAGTCTGTAAATATTCGATGAATGAACATGAACATCGATCTGCGCAATTTGGAACCGACGACATGCGTCAACCAAGTCAGCGAGCCTTACCACCCTATCCCGTTAGTCGCCTCTTACGACAAGCATGGATTGCTGAAGATCAATTCTAACCCCGACCGCCTCCGTGGTGTAGTTGTTATAGCGTCCGCCCGGAGAGCGGAAGGTCGCGGGTTCGATCCCCGACCGAGTCATACCAAAAGACGTTAAAATATGGTACTTGTTGGTCCCTGTCTGGCACGCGGCATCTATGGGCACAACAAGGACTGGTCGGCTCGGAGTCAGTATAATGTGTCTGAGTGGGGTATTCATGCTTCGCTTCGGCATGGTATCTCAGTGGGCTAGCACTATAAAACCAGCTTCAGTCTGGGCTAGTACAAGCAGGCGCTCATACACATACACATACACACGCATGTACGTCGTCATATGAGCGAAATATTCTCAAGCACGACGTTAAACCCAATTTCACCTCGCCTAACCTCAATTCTAACCCAGACCTTCTTGGGTCTCTTTTAAATGGAATAAAATTTGTTAAATAATCAAGTTTGAAAAGTAGAGGATTTCTTCGGTCCTGAAGACAAAAGTGTGAACACGAAATTGATTTTGGAAAGAATGTTATTACGCCACGAGCCCAGAACAAAGTTCATATAAATGTCCATGTCTCACGGAAATAATTTGCTATTTTTCTCTCGTTGGTTTCCGTGAATGCAATGCCAAATGTTTAAGAAACTACTAACGACACACGCAGAGATTAATGTGAGGGATTAAAACATATTAAAATGGCAATCAATAGTTTTCATGTTACCCTTCTTGGCCTGTAAACCTTTCCATAAATGATACGAAATGGTGCTATGGAAAGACGCCAATAAACGTAATCTACAGGTCACACCTACGTTGAAACATCCATATGCATTAGTTGGTGAAGGCACCCAAGTCAATGTAATACATATATTATTGCTGTATACCACAATGCATAGGTAGTGGTGATCAGATGTGTTTTCCAAACAGATACAGGTGATCAACAGTGGAAGGTAGTGGTGATCGGGTGGTGTCTCAACAGTTGGGAGGTAGTGGTGATAGGGTGGTGTCTCAACAGTTGGGAGGTAATGGTGATCAAATTGGGTCTCAACAGCTGGGGACCGCCTCCGTGGTGTAGTGGTTAGAGCGTCCGCCCGGAGAGTGGAAGGTCGCGGGTTTGATCCCCGACCGCGTCATACCAAAAGACGTTAAAATATGGTACTTGTTGGTCCCTGTCTGGCGCTCGGCATCAATGGGCACAACAAGGACTGGTCGGCTCGGAGTCAGTATAATGTGTCTGAGTGGGGTATTCATGCTTCGCTTCGGCATGGTATCTCAGTGGGCTAGCACTATAAGACCAGTTTCAGTCTGGGCTAGTACAAGCAGGCGCACATACACATACACATACACACGCATGCATGTACGTCGTCATATGAGCGAAATATTCTCAAGCACGACGTAAAACCCACTTTCACCTCACCTCAACAGTTGGGAGGTACTGGTGATCAGTGTGCCTGTGAACTGTGAGAGTTACCGGTGATACCGCAAAATAAACTCATCTCGTGAACAAACGCCGTTGCTTGACAACATGAGTAGAGATCCACGCCGGTAGGCTACTATAATGTGCATTCAACTAGATCATACATTATAATAAAAAATGCTTGGATGTTTGGACAGGCATTTCGCAATATATACCAGGTCATTTTAACTTCCAACCGATGACGGTATAATCCACCAAAATAAGCTTTACCTTTCCCTGAGCCATGGAGTCTACCACTGAGCTCCTAACTGTATCATCACACCCACAGAACGTGTTCATGGCGTGTTCCTTTTAACGAAGTAGGCAATCCAAATATTGGTCTTCAATTCTATTCGATGTCTTTAATTGAACGCTAGAAGATTGGTACACACTTTCAGAATATAAATTCTGATTTAACCCACGTTGGCCACGTCTTCGTCGTTGTTACAGACTCACGGACCACTGTGCAGGTTAAATCGCAGTCATGGGTCAATACACCTCAATAATGTAAATCTCTTTCACGTGGGCAATTTTAAATCAGTGATGGTAATGAATATTTTACTGGTCTGCTGGGAAGTGATCTCTGACTAAATGGATCTCTTAGCTAGCTATCTAAGCACGGCAAGATTTTGCTAGTTCTACATGCAAGGCACTTTCAAACACGTATTTCTTTAATGGTACACACCCGTAGAATTGGTGTGAGTGAGTGAGTGGGTTCAGTTTGACGCCACACTCAGCAATATTCTAGCTATATGGCGGCGATCTGTAAATAATCGAATCTGGACCAGACAATCCGGTGATCAAAGCAAGAGCATCGATCTTCGTAAATGGGATACAGTGACATGTGTCAACCAAGTCAACAAGCCTCACCACCCGATCCCGTCAGTCGCCTCTTACGACAAGCATGGGTTACTGAAGATCAATTCTAACCCGGACCTCCACGGGTTTTCTCCCCAGGGACCTGGAAATTAAAATGAAGTGCACGCTGATCCATTGACATGGGTGATAATGTGAACACGTTCAGCAATAACTGAGAGAATGGGCAGACACTCAATAAATACCCATGATATTATTATCATTATTATTAGTTGTCAATGTTTTAATTGAGATAGACCCGTGAGGATCCGGGTTAGAATTGACCTTCAGTAACCCATGCTTGTCGTAAAAGGCGACTAACGGAATCGGGTGGTCAGACTCGCTGACTTGGTTGACACATGTCATCGGTTCCCAACTGCGTAGATTGATGCTCATGCTGTTGACCACTGGATTGTCTGGTCCAGACTCTATTATTTACAGAACGCCACCATATAGCTGCAACATTGTTCAACTCACAGACTTAATGAACAGTTTTATCGTGTGCGAACATGCGAATTCGACAGATTGGTTATATGATATAATAATTGCGATCTGTATACCATAGTTAGGAATACAGTTGTCACGATTTAAGTGGTAAATACCTGGGGGTTCTGTGTTACGGTCGCTGTGGTTGTTGATAGAGGTAACAAAAGCATAGCTCGTGGATCCGTACGGTACACATTCTGTGTGTCTAGTCAAAGAATCATGGGTCTAAGTAGTATACTTAGTCGTCGAATCCATATTAAACAAGTCAGTGGCTTACCAAGGCACTACAATGGGCATAATTCCGATCACAAGTATTTGTTGTATCACGACTCTGTCAGTAATATTGTAATTAACTAACCCTTACCCTACCCCTTTCTCAAACCACGATTAAACACCTGTCAAAGCAAGAGCATTCCCCAGAATGTTCTGAACTTTACAATAATATATTACTAAAAGTCGCATTATGAAGGACTGCTTTTCTGATTGTCATTCATTGATAAGTTATTTCAATAAAGTTAAATACCTCTTTCATTCTGTACATTGCCAAACCACGTCACAATGCGAACTAATACAAGATAGAAACCACAGACTGTGGCCACAGGGAGACACATCAAAGTAAGGACAATAAAATAGGTTAAATCTGCTTCTTGTCAGCCGAGTCCAGTGGTGGCAGGCAGGCGGGGCCAATATGTACATGCTGAGTTACCTGGTTAACAAACATGTTAACATATTATTGTCAGAAATATATCCAGAAACTTTAAAAAGTCTAGCAGTGTATGTATATAAAGCTATGCGCCTTAGCCATTCATTTGTACATATTGTAACATAACCGAACCGTATGTTATTGTTTATTTTGTATACTGTATATACTCTCTCATAGTCAATTGTAAATGTAGAATGGGCCTGTGGCCTCCACTACAAGAAATAAAGATTGACTGATTGATAAGTTATCTGTGCGTCATTCGAACCCATTTACTTCCATGTCAAAAGTTTAAGGTTTCAGATGCTTGCCATTAATTCCTTCGCCATAATAACCTACGGATCAGACGGAAACGATATTTTGTCACACGAAGTCGGAGTAGTCAGCAGCAGGCTGTGTAACGTCACAACTGGAAGGTACTAAAGACAGATCCCTGTACATGTGCCTAACAGATACCACTTACCTTACGAATTGCTTCAGCACGTATTTAACGAGCAAAAGGAGTTTTGAAACAACGAATAAGGGTAGTCAGCAGTTGGCCGTTTAACGTCACAGTTGTAAGGTACTAAAGACAGATTATACATTTACCTTACAAATTGCTTCAACACGTATTTAACGAGCAAAAGGAGTTTTGAAACAACGAATAATGGTAGTCAGCAGTTGGCCGTTTAACGTCACAGTTGTAAGGTACTAAAGACAGATTAAACCATTTACCTAATGAATTGCTTCAACAGAAAAGCGAGTTTTGAAACAACGAATAATCTTTCGTTCCTAAGATAGTGAGTGACGATGACTCATAGTTGTCTTAGGTGAGGCTCCCCGCCACTGTGACGTGTAACGGTCATTCTGAAAGTGCCATAATGAGTCTCAAAGACAGATTTATCGAATAATAAATAATACAGCATTTACCCACTATTCTGTTCAACCATCCCAGACAGACCTCCCAGTCTGGAACCAAACACGTCTGTAATTGAATGATTTGTTGTCGGTAATGTCGGTATGGTCCGTCTCATGGGACAAGAGATAACTTACTGTGATGGATTATTGAATCATTGTCTCATGTTATCTCACATTGGAAACAGGATTCCGACAATAGTTTTATGTTGACGTCTAGACCCGTGCAATAATTTCGTAGACCTACATGTGTGATATTTATATGAAAATTACATTGCCATCGATTGCCTGATCTGAAGTTTGTGCTGTATATGTTCTTTGTTTGTATTGGCAATAGTGCAATATTTTCGTAGACAAAGATGTGTGATATTTATATGAATATTACATGCCATCCATTGCCTGATCTGAACTTTGTGTTGTGTATATGTTCTTCGTTTACTGGTTTTACACAGCAAAACGTACAAAACTCCGTGAAACATTGTAAGCTGGAAGTACGAAAAACAACCATTGTAGGGTCGAATAGATTCAAATTTCAGATTTTGTCATCGCAATGGCGCAATTGTACACACCTACGGAAGAATCAATGACGTCACTCGGCTCACTGATCACTACTCATTCCTTAGGAAACCCTACGCAAAAAGGTTTCTGCCATATCTGTGTGTTATCACGGCCATAACGATGATCAAACTAAATGAAATCAACAAAAATTAATTCAACACTCTAAATGACAATGTTGCAACGTAGATGAAGATGATTTTCTCTCTTGCAAGCATAAAATAATTGAGAATGTGACATCACTGTAACCCGTTTGGAACATTTGCTGCAAGTCAAAACATTATATTGATTATGCAGCAGTCTCGTTTCCTGTTGACTGGGTCCCGTCCTATTGCGCAACTTAGTACAATAACCAGTCCAAAATTTTGCGACCAATTCATTTAACTGGATACATAGATATTAATCAGTATTATTTGAAACATCTAATCACTTCTATATTGCAACACTACGCTCCTTCTAATCCTTGCCAACTCGTCGTGCAGCGTGCTCTGTCGTACAGCGAGCTCTGGCAAACGGAATCCTGGAAACCGTGGAAATCTCAAAACGAGGCTTTGCCGCTAGAAATGTTTGGCGGTCTGGTACGGAATTGATATTATATTAATCACATTGTGCGTTATGGAACTACACCAACTAAGCACAAAATATACATAACAGGTGTAACCAGTGAGCCAGATGCATTGTGAATTATTTTACGACCTCATCAAACAGGGGCAGTCTGTGACGTCTTAGTTAAGGTCATGCTGCCTACACCTCGCCATAAAATATATAAATACGATGTTATTAAAGTTTAAAATTAAAATGTATTTGTAAATACCATTTCCTTATGAATTCAGTGTAAACATAGTTGTTTGTGATGTCTATTTTCATAAAATTCGGATCGGCTGAAAAGTAGGTCATTGTCTGAATAGGTTAATGAGACTCATGTTTCGGTTTGTGTCGCTCATTGAGTTTGGATGCAGTTGTCGTCGGAGGACTGTTTGTATAACTTTGCATACATGCACTTGTATAAAGTTTATGTTTAATATCCTCCTCCCCAATCTCAACTCCCTGAGGATCATACAACTCTTGCAGCCACTAAGCGCACCGAGTTATTGTGGCATTCCCAGGGTTGACTGGGACACATAGTCACAGTACTTTGTTCAAGTTTTACTGCACGTTGCTGTACCCGCAACTAGGTGTTTGCACGTATTCAAGTGGCCACCATCTGGTCATATACCAACGGATTCGTGGGTTCTTTTAAGTGCACAGTGTTGTGTACTGTACACTAGGGGTTGTGACAACACTGAGAGAGTCTGCACACAAAGTTGACTCCAAGGTTTTTACACCCGGTCACGGGTGGGCTCGATCCCGTCACCTCAAGCTCTTTGGATCACTAGCCTGGCGCTTTAACCAGCTCGCCCACCGCGAATCTAAAATAGCAGCGGATAAAGGAAATTATAAACAAAAATTATTGATGTTCTTATGTGAAAGAAATGATTAATGTTCTTCTAAGCTTGTTGTATTGTATAAATACATGTTTAAGATGCAATCGCAAAAATAACACGAATGCAGGTGTCTTGCACGAGTAACAGGTCTGCGTTCAATTGAAGCACGAATAATCAGGAAAGTAAACCGTCATAATCTGACCTTAGGTCATCAACATGGAGTAACAAATCACGATCCTGGAAATCGATCGAACACACGTGTTTGATACCGGTTTTCTCACGTGTGTAAGAAATAAATTAGAAAGAAAAAACATAATCAAGGAGCACTGAGATTCGAGCCTATACTTAAGGGAAGCTACTGTTTAGTGCGAAAGGGAAATATCTTCATTTTCCAGAGACTTTTACAGGAGTGAGTGAGTGAGTTAAAATTCAAAATCACATCGGCAATATTTCAGCCATATCGTGACTAAAACTAGTTCCAAATTCATATAAAATACATATAATTTATAAAACCCTGTCAACGAAGGACAATAAAATTGCTAGGTTATCACATATTTGTTTAAACGAGATCAAGGAGAAGTAAAATAATACACTAACAATTAACGGCACGAAATACAATTTGCAAGAGATCGCCAGCAACGGATGGCAACCATACCAGAAACCGAGGGGACTTTACAATACTTCTGCTTCCTGCACAGTTCTCTAGCTGGATGTATACCCGTCAGCTGCTAGAGATTGCAGGTAAAGTTAGCCATTTACCTTAAAAGAACGACTTTTACACGAGTTAACACACAATATGGAAGATGGGCATGTTTTCGAATTGCTCTACACTGATGACGCCCTACTGTCCAGAGCTCTTAGGGGGCAATCTGGTATCTCTGCTACACGCCAGAGAAATGTGATGAGTTGTCACATCTCGAACAACCAATCTATTCAACCAATCTTTAAATTAAGATAAATCATGATGAAATGAGGAATTTTCGTTGAGCCCCAGGGGCTGGGGAGTGTGACTTGACTCAAGACTGTACAATATCTTGCGAACCCTAAGTTATTATAACTGTAAAAACATGTAGCATGTAGCCTCCCCTCCTACTTCCCCCCCCCCCGTCCAAATAGCACAGTTAGTACATTTCTTAGGGGTGCGTCCTTTTGATGTCCATCCACTTATAGCTGTGATTAGTTTCGCCATTCCTGTTTTTTCATTATAACCCTCCCGCTCAACCCCAATCCCAAAACCCGTGGAGATCCGGGGTAGAATAGGTCTTCAGCAACCCATGCTTGCCATAAAAGGCGACTATGCTTGTCGTAAGGGGCGACTAACGGATCGGGTGGTCAGGCTCGTTGACTTGGTTGACACATGTCATCGGTTCCCAATTGCGCAGATCGATGCTCCTGCTGTTGATCACTGGATTGTCTGGTCCAGACTCGATTATATAGCTGGAATATAGCTGGAATATTGCTGAATGCGGCGTAAAACTAAACTCACTCAATCTCCCAAGCCCCAACAAAACAAATCCCCAGTCTAAGTAAACTTAGGCTCAGTATTATTCGTTAAACTGCTATATTGAGTCTAAAAAACCCTAGAAGAAGGTCGCGTCAGCTAACCTTTTAGCGACCTATGACCGTCCAATCAAACGTGAAACGGCCGAACGGATTTATCCAATCCGACAAGGGCTACTAGTTAGGGTTCGGCGGGACTTACAAAATGGTTTTGGATTTTCTCTTCCCCGGTCGCTGACACTGATCTCTGGACAAACGAAAATCCGTATAAAACACATATTTTTGACCTGCAGTACATATACGCTTTGAGGTTTCTGATGACATAGTTATTTATGGTTATATTTCCGCAAGTTACCATCCTGGAATATTGACAAACGCGACCGTGAATATTGGTGTCCTCCATGTGTTTCAGTCGCAAGCGATCGTGCGGAAATAGCATTCGGACTCGTTCGACTTTTCGAGGTAAAACTTCAAACGGTATGTGCGAATGTTAACTTTCGCGATTTGGGAAGCTGTGCTCTGAATGGTCAGCCCAAAAGGTTAGCTGACGCGACCTTCTACTGGGGTTTGTTAGACTCAGTATAGCAGTATAACGAGTAATACTGAGCCTAAGTTTACTTAGACTGGACTGAACACAACCAAGTTTTCCCAGCCATTTGCCTGGAATCCCCTACCCTTTACCAACTCAGAGTTTACCAATACTTACTTGAGTGGAAAAAACCCCACACAAAACGTTTACCAGACATGTGAACAGGGGAAGGAATGCACGATGATTTCAAGGTTCGGGAACACCTGGTGTCAGGTAATTTAACTCACCAGGCATTTGTAGTTTTAATCAACAAAATACAAATCAAACGTATTCCTTGCTCCAAATTGTATTTATTCACTTGTCTGCGTATAGTAAGATTTGCACACATGAAGGCACATGACTTAAAGGCCAAACCACTGCAATTTCGATATAATCGAAAATGTCGACTTTGAGATAATACGCTGTAACTGTACTGAGTTTTAAGGGCAAGTGCCCATATGGAGGTCGACGTCGTCGATGGCCATATCGCTGTAGTAGCCACTGCCGACGGTGCCCTTGATTTCAATACGCACGCTGTTATGTTGCGGCAGGGTGAGAGCAACAGGGAACCAGCTTGCACCCTTGTGTCCACTTTGCGAGAAGATAGTGGTCTTCGTGCCACTGTACTGAAGAGAGAAAAATGATAGGCTTATTAATACTTTAATTAATCTGATTAATTAATTCACTTTCTCTCATTCATTCGTTCGTTAAAACGTTCACACTTGAGATCATTCGTTCATTAATTTTCCATTGTTTCCTTCATTCATTTTTGCTTCCTTCATTTTTCTTTTATTCATTCGTTTATTCATTCATACCTTCATTCACACATCTATATGTTGAGGTTGGGTGTTTCGATTCAGCACGATGGTACACCAGTTTTTGAACTCTTGCCTTTGTCATGCTCAAAATCAATTTCAGGGAAACGAAAATCCAACGAGACCCTAATTAAAATGTTTTGTGGGCATGTTTTGTGAATTCTTCGTGTACTCTGGGAGTACTATGCCATCAGGAAGAATGGATTATGTAACTTTCGTCTTTTCAAAAAAAATGTCTCTCTGACCTTATGACCTCAGTCGGATTAAACAAAACCGAAATATTAAAAATATATAAACAAAATAATGTTTGGTAAACGCACCCTTGTGATACACAATTCCTAGTTTGTTAGTTTGCTTTTTTGCTATCTAACGCCGTAAATGTTCCAGTCTGGACTAGACAACCCAGTGGTCAACATCATGAGCATCGATCCACGCAAATGGTATACGGTTGCATGTGTCAGCGAGTTTGACTTCCCGATCCCGTTAGTCGCCCCTTACATGCTTGGGTTACTGAAGATCAATATTCTAACCCGGATCTTCACGGGTGACAACAACAAAGGGCAATAATAAAAAATTAGTAACATTGTCCCGCACCATACTGAGCCAATCAAGGAAGTTGTTCCTTACGCTGCACTCATCAATTTTCCATCTGTATGACGGCGGTCTGTAAATAATTGAACCAGACAAACCAGTGATGCACACTATGAGCATCGATGTACGACAGGCATGGGTTGCGGAAGACCAATTCTAACCCGGATCTTCACGGGTCACTATTCGTATGGAGGTGTATATGACTCAATAACCAATAGCGATGACACCAGGTGTTCGTAAATAGGTTTTCGCAAAGGTAATACCACCTATTGATATGGCTAAATCTGGGACTGTTCTGGGTGTAGGAACAGAGAGCATTAACAGTGTACCTCTTCAAAAACCTGCAATGAGCCCATCGAGTTCCCGTTCATGTTCGCGTAGAACCGGAAACACATGTCGCTGTTGACGTCGAATTGTGGAGAGATGAGTGAAGCAGTGTCACCTTGGGATCTCGGACTGGATGCTTCAGTGTACATATATGATCCTGAAAGAAGACTGGTGTTACTTTAAGAATTGCCTTCATTTTGTATAATGGAAACATATAGATGTAAAAAGGTAAACACCGATGACCACTACTTACCTGGCGTACGTCAACTACATAGAAAAGATACTGATGTGATTCTAGAAACGTTAAAAGATATTGAAACCAGGGTCCCGATCCACAAAGCGTTCGTAGACTTACGATATTCGTAAGTCTATGACAAACGATAGAGTTACGACAGGTCGTAACGTTACGAACGCTTAATGGATCGGGACCCGGTTCCCATTCATAAATACGCTAACAGTAAAACCTTCACCGACTTTTGAAAAAAAAGCCCATTAATTACCAACATTCAATCACTAAAGTGAGTGAGTGAGTTTAGTTTTACGCCGCACTCAGCAATATTCATGCTATATGGCGGTGGTCTGTAAAGAATCGAGTCTGGACCACACAATACAGTGATCAACTGCATGAGCATCGATCTGCGCAGTTGCGAACCGATGACATGTGTCAACCAGACCAGCGAGCCTGACCACCCGATCCCGTTAGTCGCCTCTTACGACAAGCATGGCTTACTGAAGATCAATATTCTAACCTAGATCTTCACAACTAAGGGCAATAATACAAAATTAGTAACATTTTTCAGCACCATACTGAGCCAATCAAGGAAGGTGATCCTTACGCTGCACTCAGCAATTTTCCATCTGTATGACGGCGGTCTGTCCTGACTGACTGATTTGGTTTTACGCCGCTTTTAGCAATATTCCAGCTACATCACGGCGGGGGACACCAGAAATGGGCTTCACACATTGTACCCATGAGGGGATTCGAACCCGAGTCTTCGGAGTGACGAACCAACGCATACCCCACCGCTCCCGGCGGTCTGTAAATAATTGAACCAGACAAACCAGTGATGTGCATTATGAGAATCGATCTACGCCATTTGGATACAAACAAGGCATCAACCATGCATGACCACCTCATCTCTTTAGTCGTTTCTAATGGGCTGCTGAAGACCAATTCTATCCAGGACCTCCACGTGTCCAGGAGGAATGAATGTGAGGTAGTTAACATTTACGATTTGGTTTTACGCCGCTTTTAGCAATATTCCAGCGACATCACGGCGGGGACACCAGAAATCGACTTCACTCATTGTACCCATGTGAGGATTCGAACCCGGGTCTTCGGAGTGACGAACCAACGCATTAACCACTAGGCTATCTAACTGCCCTCGTCGGTCTGTAAATAATTGAACCAGACAAACCAGTGATGTGCATTATGAGGATCGATCTACGCCATTTGGATACAAACAAGGCATCAACCATGCCTGACCACCTCATCCCTTTAGTCGCTTCTAATGGGCAGCTGAAGACTAATTCTATCCAGGACCTCCACGTGTCCAGGATGAGTGAGTGAGAGGGAGTTAACATTTACGTCGCACTGGCAATATTGCGGCCATATAGTGAAAAGAAAAGAATTGATTTAACTAAATACTTGTCAGAAATGACACACAATAAAACATTAGTGGTCCAGTAAGACGATATCTGTTGGTGGATGTGGTCTATTTTTGTCCGTTTATAGGAAATATGTAACATGTTTCGTAACATGGAAACATTCTGTGATTGGTTAGATTATCTAATGCAACGGAGTGATGAGCATTCCCTGTCCTATCTCGAGAGAGTTAAAGGCCTTACAGGGAAACTACATTGCGTTACGTTAAGTGTTAACACTATCTGTAAGATAAATTCGCTGATCAATATGGTTTAACATACCCCTAAGTAGTTGTGTATCCGTTGCCTGAACAACATATGATATATAGTCCGTTTGGCTCAAAACATACTCAATGAAACCCAGATCATCAAAACATCATACCCACTCTGTGAGGTTTTTGCAGAATTTTTGTCCTAAAAATAACAAAAAGTTGTTTGACAAACTATCATTAAAATATTGACACAGTTCACTATTTGTTACGAGGGAGGAGTGCAGAGAAAGGGACAGCCAGGTGTGCGAGAACGGATGGAGACGGCACAGCACAGGTTAATGAATAAATAACTTTGTCTGTGAACGTGCTTCGCGAACACCTGGCTGTACCTTTCTCTGCACTCCTCCCTCGTAACAAATAGTGAAGTGTGTCAATATTTTAATGATAGTTTGTTAAACAACTTTTTTTTGTTAGGGGGGGGGGACAAAAATTCTGCAAAAACCTCACAGAGTGGGTATGATGTTTTGATTATGATCAGCGTTTCATTGAGTATGTTATGTTTATTAGTTTTCGAGTTAGATTGCAATTCATCGGTCCGCTTTTGAGCCAAACGGACTTTAGTCGTTCATTAAGGCCATATCATAATATATTTCCTTCTTGAAAGTTCACGAACACTGATTTCAATATTGCAAGGAATTGTACAGGGACATATGATCCGATTTTAAGTTTCAAGTGCAACAGAGTTGTCCAAACTACAAAAATAACGGTTGCTATACAAGTTGGGGCGAACTCTCTTCCTTACAAACCTGATCCCGATGTGTGATCACCCGATGGTCCGGTGTCAGAAGAACTCGTCGTTCCTTTGTTGCTGGTCCAGTCAAATTGATCCTGAGTTGACTGGACCCATCCACACATACCAGCGTCAAAATTACACGTCACTCCGTTATCTGGGTGACAGAAACATGGTAATATGTACACGGATGGATTAGCCGAGACAGAAGCGAAGACAAAGGAAGGATAACAATATATAGATGAACAACGACTGGATGGATGAGCGACGTTTTGGTGTAGGTTCTAACACCGTTAACAGAATAACAGAACAGTGAGTGAGTTGGGTTTTACGTCGACTTTAGCAATATCCCAGCAATATCAGAAATGGGCTTCACACATTGTACCCATGTGGGGAATCGAACCCGGGTCTTCGGCATGACGAGCGAAAACTTTAACCGCTGGGCTACCCCACCGCCCAATAACAGGTGAACAGAATAAAGATTGTGAGGCATATATACAAGTTTTGGGAAGTTTTTATTCCGTACTGTGTGAATTTGGAATTTTAGCATGGGGATGCCAGTTAACTTCACATTGCTTAAGATGAGATATTGTTATCCTTCCATACTGCTCTAACTTTTAATTGCCTCTCAAAGTTAGCAAAAGGTATTGACCAGGTATCGCCAGGTAAATTCCAACTGCATGACAGCCACTTGTAAATAACGGAGACTTGACCAGCAAACAAAGTGATCGATATTGTGAACATCGATCCACGATGTTAGTGAGTGATTTAAAGTTTAAAGTCACACCACGATGTAAGGCTACACACAAATGCATTTCGTTGCTACAAAACTGTCTTGGATGAAATTTGCATTGTGTATTTTCCTGTTTTCGGTGGGTTTTCCTGTAGATCGAACTCAGCAATATTCCAGCTGTGGCAAGAAAATTTGATTTGGAAAAAGAATGAGAAACATACTCAATACGGTACAAGTCTGAACCCAGTCGCCGAAAGCACAGCTTATGCAGTCTATTTCGTTTCACTTTTCACTGGGCCAATAGTTGCGGTGTTTGATAGTTGCTTACATATAGTCTATATCTTGTGGTATATCTATTATCTACCCATTTGGAAGTAGTGACAGCTATCTAAAGTTACCTCTGCAGAGTTGCGTCCCTTAGTGACACACGGATCCTAATGCTGGGTTAGAATCTTAGCTTTTCTCGTAGTTTTGCTACTGTGTCGCTGCAAAATGCTAAGCCTTAAGGACCTGAATAGCGTGGGTTATTTGCCTACATCGAACTGATACGCCATGAAAAATACCACAGTAAAATGTTCCACGTATGCATGATGTCATAGTTGTACTTTGGATCTATGATTACAGCCTGTTAACATTTTGAAAAGTGTGGTGATAGTTTGGCCCAATCTGATTTTGAAGTGTAATCATTCTGCATTTTTATGTTCAAAGGGGTTTAACTCGATTGCTCCCTCACTCTGTCGCTCTCCCATTATTGCTCAAACTTACCACTGAGACATTCACCGTTGTTAGTTCCCGAGGTACAGACGCACCGAAAGCCTCTAGCTCCACGAGGCTGGCACTGGGCAAAGCCTTTACACGTACCACTCAGGCATGCTGGACAGTCCATGCTGATGCCATGGAACTCGGCCACACCATAATTAACAGGAATGAGTACATCAGTGTTGAAAAAGACATCTTCCACGCACCCATCAAAATCGAGTTTGGACAATGTACCCTGTTTCCATGGAGTCACAGGAACCTGACCAATGAAATTCTCTCTTAGTGAACTAGCGGAAGTGGGACCGGGAGAGGATAAGATGCAATCTTCAGTCGTGTTACATAGAGGGTCCATCAGGGATAGGGTGGTGTTACCGTTGTACACCAAACTGAGGCTGTGCCAGTGCGAGTCACTAAGCGGAAGTGATGTCAGAGCTTCCTGGGTGTCATTGTAGCCGGCAGAATCGCCTGATACCAGATATAGAGAGCCATTTGCGATCTCAACGCTGACGAATGCGTTTCCAACCCGATTGTAAAGCAAAATCTGAAAGGACAAACAAGTAAGGCATATTGATTGAAGGCAGTGTAGTTTGTTGATACAAACCGCTGTAATCGTATTGCATTGTTTCTGTGAAGATTCAAAAGCGGGCAGTAGCAGTTGCCGTATTTGAAGGGGTTTTGAGGCAAGAGTAATTTGGAGGTTAGTTGTTTTTTTGAGTAAGTGAGTTTAGTTTTACATACTACATTACTGCATTTCTATCTGTGATATTCTAGTTGTTTTACTGACCTCAGTTGACAAGTTTGTGATGATTTAACTAGTTTTAGTCACGATATGGCTGAAATGATGCCGGTGCGACTTAAAATCGTAACTCAATCACTCACTTAAAGAGTCTGAAAACCTTCCGGAATGTTCTATACAAGAATGATTTATGATTATGCAGAAGCTTCCAAATTACTTTTGCCCTGGTTGACACATGCCATCGTATCCCAATTGCGTAGATCGATGGTCATGCTGTTGATCACTGAATTGTCTGGTCAATTAGTAACAGACCGCCGCCACATAGCTGGAATATTGCTGAGTGCGACGTAATACTAAACTCACTCACTCCCTCACTTACCGCATTAGACTGTGCTGTCCTGAACCTCATTGTGAGGTTGAACCCGGAAGTGTAGGTCTTCCTGATGAAGCTTGACGTCGACAACGTCATCATCGTAGTTGTGTCACAGACCTTGCCAATGTAGCCATGGGCACAAGAACATGTATAGCCATGGAGATTTTTAGCCTCATCCAGAAGAACAGGAACACACACGGCCTCGTTTTGACACGCATGAACATCTTCACAACCCCGCAACAGCACAGAACAATTCTTTCCTCCGTGAGTTATTAATCCCTCTTTAAAGGCAAGACATTCACAGTGGTAGTCGTCGCCATCTTGAACACATGTGCCCCCATTTTGGCAAGGATGTTTCAAGCACCTGTTAATACGAAATATTCACACAGTTGAGCAGTGTACCTGATCAGAATTGCTGCAATCAGTGACGACGAGACATCTAAACAGAGTATGCAACGTTTATGATACACGATATGAAGATAGCTCATCACACCAGACAGCTGATTTAAACGAATCTTTGGCATTTGATTCTGTGACCCGGTTATGTACCTCATGCTGTGAGTTATTTTTACAGTGAGTGAGTGAGTGAGTGAGTTAAAACTTAACGTCACATCGGCAATATCTCAGCCATTTCGTGACAAAACAATTCATACAATAAAGCTGAAAATATTCTGAAGAATAAACATACTATAGTCCGTTTGACTTCATTTGAGACGGATGAATTGCTCATTAACACAAAATGTAATAAATGCAACAAAATATAACTTTGCACAGTCACATAAAATCGACAGACCAAATCTGATGATTTGTCTCATAATTTTGGACACCGGAATAAAGAAGTTGTTTAACAAACGATCATTACGAGGGAGAACAACTTGTTGTTAGAACAGCCAGGTGTGCGAGTTGCACATGTGAAATTGAAATTTCACTGAACGCGCTTGTTGATTACCTGGCTGTTCTACCAGCAAGTCTCCTCCCTCGTAAGAAACAGCGAAAAGTGACAACAAAATAATTATCGTTTGTTAAACAACTTTTTTATTCGGGTGTCCAAAATTATGAGACAAATCATCAGAGTTGGTCTGTCGATTTCATGTAACTGTGCAAAGTTTGTTTTTGTTACATTTATTAGATTTTGTGTTAGTGAGCAATTCATCAGTCTCACATGAAGTCAAACGAGCTGTAGAGTATCACAGATATGAATATAAAACTAGCAAGTAAAACTAAATCATTTTAATTGAAGAAGACAATACAATTTAGATCTCCAACAACTGAAAGTAGATCACCATCCTAGGGACCATAGGGACTTAAGGTGCCTTTGCTACCTGCATGGACCCTAGCTGGATTTACATCATCCCTTCAGCCGGTGGCGATTGTAGTAAAATTTAGTCATAATTAAAAATCAATAAAATACTACGTTGTAAAGTTTTAAATGTTCTTTGAAATGTTCGGGACTTAAGTACCTTCTCAGGATTATCTTTACAGAGCTTTATTTGCAGAAGCTAGTTATTTTTCAACACCACTTTTCAACCTGTTTTTTTTGTTCATTCCTTCCAATCTAATGTAGAATGTTGAAACGTATCTCAGTTTAGGTATTGCCCCATATTTAAGAAATTGTTTAACACATTTAGATGCGGTATATTTAAACTTAGTTCTGAGACCGGTAGATATAACAATGTCCCTTATGATTCAAGAGTCTGTCCATTTTGCCACAAAATTAATGTTTATTTAATTGAAGATGAAGTACATGTTTTACTTTATTGTAAAGCCTACCTAGATATACGGAATAAGCTTCTAGAAAAATATTTGAAACATCCTATTTCACAACACAGCTTTATAAACATAATGACTTCAACAAACATAAATGTTATAAATAATTTATGCCTATTTTTATATAATGTTGGGAAAATAAGAGATTCTGATGTTTTTAGGTAAAACGCATGTAACTTCTTATCATATCTATGAATGTATTTTGGGCCAGTGGCCTATTATTGAAAACAATGTCTGTCTGTCTGCCTGTCTGTCTGTCTAATGTAGACGGGTGCACACAAAAAAATTAACATATGATGAATTGGGATTACTTCCCTCATTTGTAAATATTTTGAAAATAGAGTTTTCATTGTGACGTTCAAGTCTAGACCATTACATGTTCCCATAACACCACAGATAATTTGCTCAGTTAAAGCGTTCCCTCGTCATACAGACGGCCCGGGTTCCATCCCCCACACGGGTACAATGTGTGAAGCCCGTTTCTGGTGTCCCCGCCGCAATATTACTGCAATATTGTGAAAAGCGGCATAAAATCCAACTCACTCACTCAGTCATTCATTCATAGCCTTTCAACATTACTTTCCAATGATATCCATTGGAATATCTTTCAGCGGATAACCGAACCTGTTATCTTCTTCTATTGACGTTGTATATTTACCGGATATGTTATTCGGCGCACAGTTAACGGTTATTTCTGATTCAGTGTTTACAGCGTCCGTTAGAAAACTCCCATTGTAAATTATTGTGTTTAGAAATGGTGGTCCCTAGCGCTCACATGAAAATTGGTTTTATAATGGTAATGTCATTGACACTGTATCATTTTACAAGTACCTTGGAATTATGTTCACTCCTAACTTATCCTGGAGTAAAGCTACATCTTGTCTTGCATCATAAGCTAATAAGGCAAAATTCTCTGTTTAAAATTTCCAAAGGTAATTTGGCAGCATTAATTGTACAGATTTATTTAAGATTTTTTATTGTATGATATCACCCATTCTATGTTATGGGTCTGAAATCTGGGGAACATCCTACTGTAATACTATTGAATCTGTCCATATTAAATTTATATATATGTTTTGAAACTTGGAAAATCCACCTGTAACAACATGGCCTTGGTGAATGTGGAAGAGTGCCTTTACAGTTTACTTATACAACCAATGCAGTGAAATACTGGTGCAGATTTCTTAACATGCCTGACTATAGATTACCAAAACAATGTTATTTTATGCTATTATCTCTAGACAGGGTAGGACGAAATCCATGGGCAACTAGAATTAAAAATATTCTTTTTCAATTTGGTTTTGGATTTGTTTGGATAAGCCAGGAAATTGGTGATCACAAAATATTTATTGAATCATTAAACAGAGACTACATGATAATTTATTCCAATCTTGGCAGTCATCTTTGGACAGTATTTGTAAATGTTTTTACTATAAGCAATTCAAATCTTTATTAAATGTAGAGAGCTACTTGATAAATAGTGATGTCCCTCAATATTTAAATATTATATATGCCCGATTTCGGTGTTGTAATTTTAAACTAGCAGTTGAAACTGGTAGATACATTAATATTGTACATAATGAAAGGCATTGCCTGTTTTGTAAATTAAATGGTATCTTCGTTGTTGAAGATGAATGGCATGTGTTTTATATCTGTGATGCATATTCTCATATCAGAAATAAGTACATATCAAACTATTTTAGTAAATGTCTATCAATTATTAATTTTATATCTATGTTACAGAGTAAAAATGTTAATATCATCAAGGATGTATGTCTATTTTTATACTTTGTTGACAAGAAACACAAATCTAGATGAAATACATATGTGCTCTAATTATCCATCAATGTATGTATATATTGTTTGTGCCGGAGGCCTGTTACTGAAATAAAATTCTGTTCTGTTCTGTTCTGTTCTGTTCTGTTCATTGTAGGGGCGGTGGGGTAGCCTAGTGGTTAAAGCGTTGGCTCGTCACGCCGAAGACCTTGGTTCGATTCCCCACATGGGTACAATGTGTGAAACCCATTTCTGGTGTTCCCCGCCGTGATATTGCTGGAATATTGCTAAAACGGCGTTAAACCATACTCACTCACTCACTCACTCACTGTTCATTGTAAATTCGGAGTGGTTTCCCTTTACCCTGTCTTCATTGTGATAAATGCTTACTGGTTGGTGAGCTTGTGTTCACATAGTACTCCGGAGTAGCCACTACCCGTGCAGTCGCAAGTGTAGGAATTTATGCCGTCCACGCAGGTGCCGTGTTTACAAGGCTTCACCCAGCAGTCGTTGTAGTTCTGCTCACACCGATCACCTATAACATATCGGCGTGAGTTAGTTAGTTAGGACCCGTTAAAGGAGGATATAGTGTCGAGGTGCCATACTTGGAATCAAACTTATGCCTTCGAAGTTATGAGCAAACACTATAACCACAATACTTATTTCCTCACTCGGCATGTAGTATGTTTCTCAAGATTCAGGATCAGATAGACAGAAATTCATATTTGTTATATGTATATCTGTAATATATTTGTGAAGTGATATTTACATTTCCAATAGGAATCACTGGTTTGTCTGGTTAAATTATTTACAGACAGCCGGGGGCGGTGGGGTAGCCTAGTGGTTAATGCGTTGGCTCGTCACGCCCAAGACCCGGGTTCGAATCCCCACATGGGTACAATGTGTGAAGCCCATTTCTGGTGTCCCCCGCCTAGATGTTGCTGGAATATTGCTAAAAGCGGCGTAAAACCAAACTCACTCACTCACTCCAATAGGAATTATTGCTCGGGGCATTGGTGAAGGACTGTTAGTCACAGAATATCGGTTACTGTTGTGTGTTTTGGTTAGCCCGCGCTCAGCAATATTCCAGCTATATGACGGCAGTCTGTAAATAATGGAGTCTGTACCAGACAATCCAGAGATTGCTATCATGAGCATCGGTCTACCCAACTGAGTTAGGATGACATCTATCACCCAAGTCAGAGAGCCTGGCCACGATCAGCACGGGTTGCTGAAGACCAAATCAAACCCGGATCTTCACAGATATATTTAATGTCAAAGTAATACAGGCCGTACAAGTACATCACTTACTGAAACCCATGCGAACAGGTATGGTACTGGGAAACCAACATTCATTATGAGTTAAAGCTTGGATTCGAACTCATAACCAGCTTTCTGGGACTACGACTTGCCAATCCTCAGATATCTATTCCATACCTGCTAGCATAAAATGTTGTAAGACTGAGTTACCTAGCATGGTCTTACAGTTCTTTTAGCAATATTCCAGCAATATCGTGGCGGATGACCAGAAATGGACTTCACACATCACACCAATGTTGGGATCATGTAACCAGAGGGGCGGTAGGGTAGCCTAGTGGTTAAAACGTTCGCTCGTCACGCCGAAGACCCGGGTTCGATTCCCCTCATGGGTACAATGTGTGAAGCCCATTTCTGGCGTCTCCTGCCGTTATGTTGTTGGAATATTGCTAAAAGCAACGCAAACACAAACTCACTCACTCACTCATGTAGCAAGAAGGTAGTACGCACCTGCGATACCCTCAACACACAGACAGTGGAAACCTGGACTTAGTTGACCAGGATTTGACCCAGCAGGTGTGTCGACGCACGTGCCTCCATGAAGACACGGGTTGGACACGCATGCGCTGAGCTCTACTTCGCAGTTATTTCCGGCGAACCCAGGAACACATGTGCAGGTCCAGTTCTGCAATTCACGTGTAGAACAAATATAGATTATATCATACAAGAAGCTCAGAGACATTCTGATAGATGGAAAACTGAAAAAACAACTTGTATAATATGTGACTTTAGTATAAGGATGCAATTCTAACTCGTAAATATGTTATTTTCGAAATACATGTTATTACGAAATGTCGGAGTCGTTTGATGTTAACATTGAGAGATCGTTGATGCAACCTTTCGATAGGCAATTAATCAACTGTATTTTTTCTCAAAAGTACATCATAGAAAAAATCCAGCCATGATGAAAGAATACCTTAAACCCATCAACACACGTGGCGCCGTGGAGACAGGGTTGTGATTGACAGTCGTTGTAGGGCAGGTGACACGTGAAGCCATCGTAACCAGTACCGGTGCAGTCACAGACGTAACTGGAACGTCGATATTGACACAAGGACATGATAATCAACCAAATGTAATTCAAAATGCAGTGTCAGATATCTAGACAGGGTTGACCCTCAGACATACACTGAGAACTGAGGGGGAACGAAATTGTCTCAAAACGTTTTCTCGTATTTTGGATTTTCATTTGAAAATATCTGAATTGTGCGATATTATATTCCATGTTGAATTAGTCGGCACTCAAAAAGAATAAGTCTACAGGGTTTTAGCTTTTGATATAATTTAAATTTTAAATTAATGGACTTAAAATTACGTTTTCTTATTTTTTCAAATGTACATTTTAAACAAAGTAGATATCTGTGGTTGCAAGTTCACGTCTTACTCCCGTTTACTCTGAACTGTTTGAAGCACAACTTTACAAGTCACAGATTACATTTTCAAATTGTTTCAAAGATGAGTGATGTTGAGCTAGATATGATCAAATTTAACTTCTAAATTTAAATTTCTATTACGTATAAAAACTAAACAAACCAGATATATTTTATTTTGCGCCTCAGTTCCGATACAATCTAATACCACCTGCTCGCTACAAACTGTTTAACGTCGAATACAGTCCGACGGCAAACAATTTCACATCATCGTTATGTCAAGGAGAGTGTTTAGTATACCCCTGTGCTAATGCTCAAGTAAGCGTGATGACGTACAGGCGTCGTCTATTTGGTTTAAATATCAATACTATCACATTAGACAGTGTCGGAGAACAGTCTGACGTCCTGTTTCGATGTAAATACGTTTCCAGGACATGCCTGCAGTGCATAACCGTACACCTCAAAACTTGTCTGTTTAACATGGTCAACATAACGGAACGATTGCACGTTACACACTGACTTTGTTCGGAAGAAGTCTTCAGAGTGGTCTTTTGTTTGAAACGGTAGCAATTCAGCTCAACGAGACAACATTAAGCGAATAGTGTGCACTGTTTCTTTTAGAAATATATCAGAAAAGGTTCTCAGCATGTTCAAACTTCATAATGGCTGCTTATGTACAACATTGTATGTGCCATGCCTTCCCTTTGCTTACAGCAGTACCATGGGCCCATCTTGCCTGGATCCATTGACACAAAATCACTTGCTTATATGTTGTGGCAGATCTGTGTTACTGAGCCGAGTGATAACGGAAATATGAAGTAGAAATGCAATCAATTTTAATACAACCCACTGCATTAAATATCACGAAATGATAGGATTTTGAAGTGGGCTGTAACATGTCACCTTCTAAATATAGATACTTCATTTTTAGAGTTATTATAATACAAAAGGGAGGATTGACAGCAGGTCGAAACCTCAGATCATATCGGCATGTAGGTTACATTTCACAAGGAAATGTGTTTCATCCTCAATTATAGAAACCGCCTCTGCGGTGTAGTGGTTAGAGAGCGGAAGGTCGCGGGTTCGATCCCCGACGGCGTCATACCAAAAGACGTTAAAATATGGTACTTGTTGGTCCCTGCCTGGCGCTCGGCATTAATGGGTACAACAAGGACTGGTCGGCTCGGAGTCAGTATAATGTGTCTGAGTGGGGTATTCATGCTTCACTGCTGCAGGGTATCTCAGTGGGCTAGCACTATAAAACCAGCTTAAGTCTGGGGTAGTACAAGCAGCCGCACATACACATACACACGCATGCACGTCGTCATATGAGCGAAATATTCTCAAGCGCGACGTTAAACCCAATTTCACCTCACCTCACCTCAATTATAGAAAGGGTATATCGCATTTATTCTCACATGTAAGTACCTTGTTTTAGTATCGAGACATTTGCCTCCATGAAGACAGGGATCCGAAGCACACATATCCGTAATATCGCAGTGAAGACCAGTGAACCCGGCCGTACACTCACACACGAAACCATCCACCCTCTCATAGCAGGATCCGCCGTTCTTACAAGGGTCCGACTTGCAGTGATCAACGACACCTACGGGAAATAACAAGTCATTGCGTTATGGTCACTCAAGAGATGACTTCGGTAAAGCTGATTTTGGCAACAGCGTCTCTCAACATCTCAAAATGAAGGTTTATGCACAGACTAGAATAGCTATTTCGAAAAAGATAACTGAAAATACGTTTAAAATAGGATAGATGTCAACTTACATGGTCTTCCGAAAAAGAGATAAAAAGTATCGACTTGTCCCTTTTTTTTTAATTATACGTACTTTCAAAATTACATAAGAATCCTAGAATTATAACTATATAACACTCGGTAACCCCTAGCAACGTTCCCGACCAAAACAACCATGGTATTTATGCAAAATACACTATCACCGGTAAAATTGCCAATTAGATTATGCTCCACACTTTAAACAAAACATGGATCGTCTATCAGGGATCTTAGGAATATTGAGAGTACATATGTATATTAGCCAGGCAGCGGGATGCTGTGTTGTGGGATAGGGATATTTCGCAATGTATGTGATATATTTCTGCATTGACACTTGGAATGCTACTGTGTTGAGCGTACGGAGATTATTGTAAATGTACTTTAGACATGTCTTCACTGGCATTATGAAGGCTCCGGAGTTGAGAGTACCAAGATTATTATCTTACCTCACACATAAATGTCGTTTTCTGATTGGTTGAGCCAATCAATGTACCCTGCTTACAAGTACCATTTTCTGAGTTATCCGCTGGAAATGCCAAACTATGGGAATTCGTTTGGTACTTCGTGTTAGTAGTGCCTGGACTGTTGCCTAACTCCGGTACTCATTATGATCCAGTACCCGTGCTTCAAACAGTTCAAAATTAACATTGAGGTGTTCGGTAAGATAAATACGTTGTTAATTGGTTTTCGGGTTCAGGGAAACATAGGTACATAAGTCCCAAAATGTTCAAAGTCAATTTAAACTTGCCAGGATTTTTAAACGTAGCATTCTTGTCATTTTAATTTTGTCTAACATTTCTTACAATCGCCAGCAGCTGAAGGGATGGTGTAAATCCAACTAGGGTCCATGCAGGTAGCCAAGGTACTGTAAGTCCCCATGGTCCCTGGTATGGTGATCTACCTTCTGGTGTTGGCGATCTATAGCCTGTTTTTAGTTTGTATTGTCCAAATAGTGCTAGTAGTTTTAACTCTCCACACTAGTTTTAGTTGTAATTGTGATATTCTAGTTGTTTTACTGTCCTTCGTCGGCAGGTTTTTTATAATATTCATATATTTCATTTCAATATCAAATGTTCTCGTCACGATATGGCTGAAATATTGCCGATGTGACGATAAATATTAACTCACTCACTCACTCAGGGAAACATAAGGAAACATAGGGAATACATCAACCCAATGTCCCCCTCCCCAGTGAAGAACTTATAGTGTACGTTACATATGTCTGCAGTATCAATAGGAAGGTTAATGTGTTGAGTGTATCACGGTTACTGTACAATTAAGTTAGATATAACTGCATTGCCGTTAGGATATCCGCATTGCCACTAGAAAGGTCACTGTGTTAATTGTATCAAGATTATTGTACACTTACTTTAATTATATCTGCATTCCCTATATGAAGGCTACAGTGTTGAGTGTATCGAGAATACTGTACATTCTACGTTATTCACATTACCTATAGGAAGGCTAGTTTGTTGAGTGTATCAATATTATTGTACAATGTATGTTAGAAATATCTACATTACCAACAGGAAGGCTAGTATGTGGTGTTGTCGATGGTTGATGAGCACACAGTCCAGCATTACATTCGTTAGTTCCGCAGCATTGAAAACAACCAGAGGCTGCACGCCGTCCGATGACAGGACCCGCCAAACTCGAACTGCATACCTACATGAGTAAAGGTGGTGCCAGATAGGTTTACAAACATTCATCAGTACTATAATGTTTTGTGACCCTCTCCGTGGTGTAGTGGTTAGAGCGTCCGCCCGGAGAGCGCAAGGTCGTGGGTTCGATCCCCGACCGCGTCATACCAAAAGACGTTAAAGTATGGTACTTGTTGGTCCCTGACTGGCGCTCGGCATTAAGGACTGGTCGGCTCGGAGTCAGTATAATGTGTCTGAGTGGGGTATTCATGCTTCACTGCGGCGTGGTATCTCAGTGGGCTAGCACTATAAAACCAGCTTAAGTCATGGCTAGTACAAGCAGCCGCACATACACATACACACGCATGCACGTAGGCATATGAGCGAAATATTCTCAAGCACGACGTTAAACCCAATTTCACCTCACCTATAAACAACAGTCTCTTGTCTTGTAAATTAGACGTGTGTGTGACCTAGTAAAGTAGTGTCCGACAATTCCATCATCATCATCATCATCATAATCATCATTGTTGTCGTTACAGCGTGTGTCCAAAAAATATTGTTTAAGAAGAAAACGGAATGATTACACAGGAAACGTGATTTTCATGAAATGAAGAATAGCACTGTACATAAACATCATCAGCCTTTCATAAACCCAATATATTGTCAGTATCATAAATGACTCAGTGGTGGTTCAATTGGCACGTCCCTGATGTCAGTTTATTTAACGTGTGACATATTATTACATAGATGTTTAAATTGCTGACGTAACTAATCATTTAGAATGAATCTAGATGGTTCAGGCTGTGTTTGTTATTTTACTTGAAGTGACACCCTGGCACGTTCAAAATACTCACGGTGCTGTTGTCGCATCCCAGCGTGTAGACGACGTCCCCGTTGAGACTCCTCATTTCCCTCGTGGAACACATCTGGTAAATAATACGTGGTGGTGGTGGTGTTAGATTGAAAAATCAAAATATATTGGAAAAGTTCATAACTGGATTTCAGCCGACAATTGAGAATCGGAGATGTAGCAAAATGAAAGTGCTAACAAGTGAGACTGTGTTTGGCGTATTACATCACGACGGCATGTTTTTTGAAAACATGTCGATTATTAATGACTACAGGATAACATTACTCTGACAGCTTTCCATCCATTGGGCACTTAAGCGACTTGATTTAAACGACGTACGATTCATACACGTGCTGGCTCTATGCAGCAAACACCGTCATCCTCACCAGAAAACTTCATCTACCCCATTCACTCCAAACCCAACCCAATCCCACACACATACACACCGTGCTTGAAAGCGGTATAAGAATCTATACCGAAACGTCGCCATTGTGAAAATAAAGAAGTTGATCGCCCATAAAGTTTTGTCATCTCTATACCATCAACTTCTAGAATGCCACTCAAACAAAACACATACACACGCAACAAAAGAAAAACACAACCAAAAGACAACACCCCAAACTCAAAATTCCCTGAAAACTACTTGAGACCCGCAGATCTGAAAATCACCAAGAAATTCCAACCGCTTCAGTTAAAGTATTAAGTTAATGCGACGCCAGACCTCTGTACATACTCTATACTCTGAGCCACCTTGACTGCCTTTTCTGTATAGAAATACGCGACTACAATAAGAAATTACTATCCTCGACGATCTGCCGAAACTAATTTCATTGTGCTAGACTAAAATCTCCTCTCTGAAATGAATATATTTTACAGAAAAAAAACGATAATTCGTTATCAATTTCAAACAAAATCGAATATAAGGAGACAAGATACTTTCTTCATTTCCAAACCTCATTATAGACTAGCATGGCCTGGTCTTATTTGTTTCAGGGTCTGCATGACAGACTACCACTGGACGTAAAAGGCAGAAAAGCGGTGTGCATTATATGTATGAATCGCTGTAAATCTGTAGAGGACCACGGGTGATTGCTACCCAGGGTAAACAGTCACACTTCTAAAACGGTGCGTCATAATTTCAGTACTGTATCACTTCTATTCGAAAACTGTGATATAAACAAATTAAAGCCAAAAATGCAGACGCGCCATTGATAATACATTATGTGGATGTCATGTCACTCAGACAAGACACGATGTTTAAAACATACATAACAAGGTAACAGTGGTTTTTATATTTTGCATGCAGATCTGACGGTTTATGCTAGTTTTCTTAATCAGGAAAGACACAGATGCCTACAAAGAATTGTTAATTCAAGACGTGTGACTGGTATTTTCACCTGAGGTAAAACGTGGTGGTGAGTCAGATCATTACGGAGGCGAAGATCTGATTTAAAAGAACGATTTCCTATTCTAGCGTATCATGCTTCCCATGTGTAAAAATAGATGCCTTTACTTGATTTTCTTTACATGAGCGTATGTTTGTGCAGGACGCAGGGTTGACGACATCCACGCAGCTCCGGCAATACAGGGATGAAGCGGCTGAAATGCAACGTCACGTCAGTTCACAAGTTTTGTATAAAGGAGACACAACTCTTTCCATGTTCGCAAGGGAAAATTGGTAAAGTCTTTGAATGACATTTAGAGTGAGTGAATGAGTGAGTTAATATTTAACGTCACATCGGCAATATCTCAGCCATATCGTGACGAAAACAATTTATGTAATACAAAAATGAGAATGACATTTAGACGTGATACACATTAAGGCAAGAATTTTATGGATGTCAACTTTTTTAAATGTGATGGACACAACTTTTCACTGTGTCTTCTCCATCAAATTCTTGCCTTTAATATTGGTAAAATATTGTGTTCTCGCACTTCTGCATTGCAAGCTTGTTTCGAGCGGTCAAGAAAACTCTTGGCCGCAAGAATGTCCCTTACAGTATTCCATACCTCTCCGTATCTCCAATGTCAAGAACACCTGTTCTTGGTTGACGTCATACCACAGTGCTTAAGGTTGCTATTTCTGATAATACGTATTTCGTTTGCTAGATTAAACACGGTAGTTGTGACTTGCATTAATATATCTGTATCTTGTCTGGCTATACTCATAGCAACATGTATAATAAATGCTTGTGAAAGAAACAACATTCCAGGTGCCATATTTCAAAAATGAAAATAAACCGACTAGCCTGCATGCACGGATGCCAAAACGTCATGCAATCTGATTGGACAGCTGCTGTCATCTACTGATATATACAAATCGGCACTTGCTTTATGAACTCGTGTCACAATATAATTCTAAATTGCCGAACAAAAACTTTCCATCCAAAATACGTCCAGCAATTGTTGAACGCGTACCACCATCATGATGTGTGGAACATGGGTTCTTCTACAACCTACCACCTGTGGGCTCGTGCACAAGCAAGTGCAGCTAAATAAATTCGCTCACACTGCTAGTGACACAGTTAACTAACTCACACGTCACTTCAGAAACGCGGAATGAGGGTGTACAGTCACTAACGCTAGTTATCTCACAAAGGAAGCCTTATCGCTATCCGGACGTTTTCTGAGTGTAACCAAAAAGTTCGGATACACGGGGTTCGACTGTATATACATACCTTTGCTCTGGCCCACACAAAGCATGAGAATGACCTAGAATAAATAAAATACTTGGATATGTAAGAAGTCCAAACCAGAAAACGTTGTAATGGGACTAAAATCTGGTTTACGCCTTATCTGGTGTTCTCACTACATTTTTGTTCATGACCCGTTGATAATATAGTGACAATTCCTGAAGTAATGTACTATGGTAACAGTCATGGTAACATAATACCATATGTATTTTGGTACCCGTTCATCTGATGAACTCAATAGACTCACCTGAGTCACTGTTACAGTAACAACAGCTGCCATGGCTGAAGATACAGGTACGTGTGTGTTTCCCTGCTTATCGTGACTGACGTAGGTCACAATTGAAGGTCCTCGGATAAAAGGACGGTATCTAGATAAGATATACCTTCTGAAATCAGTGCTTGGTTTTGTACACACAATATAACATGAAATAAATAAAATTTCACAAAATGAAGCAGGAGTATTGTAAATTTCATGGTGTGGCATAGAAGACTTCTTGAAAAATATTTTCGCTTTGAATATTGTGCTCTCAGTGAGGGACAGTACTTTAGTTGGTTACCTGGAATAGTCAGTACTCAGTTAGATGACCTTTTAAAAGCAGTGAATGGGAGGGTGACCAGGTGCAGACAGTACTGGGAGACCTGGTGCAGACAGTACAAGGTTGGATGACCTGGTGCATGGAATACCTGGCAGGGTGACCTAGTGCAGACCTTACTGGGAGACCTGGTGCAGACAGTACATGGTTGGATGACCTGGTGCATGGAATACATGTCAGAGTGACGTAGTGCAGACAGTACTTATTGATATGGTGACAACAGTACTTGGTGACTAGGTGTAGAAAGAAGGGTGACCGGATGCACGCAGTGCTTGGCTGATTGACCAGGTTCAGACGGCACTTGGTTGGGGGATCTGGCACAAGCGGTACTTGGCTGAGATGCTTGGTACTGACAGTACCTGGGTGGCCTGGAGTGCTTGATTGGAATTACACGTAAGTGTTGTTGAATGTTCACTAAAATGTGTAGTAGAAGTCAGTAGAAGCAAACATATCAAATCATGAAAATCGATCATATACAAAACTTCCAAATTGAAAACATCGAAAGCTTTTAAAAACGGTCTATTTGACATTTACAAAAACATAACATGCAGCTGCTAAAAAATTTCAGAAATCGATTGTAATTATTGTCCGCGTTCCGATGCCTGCTTGTTCTCGTTCACTGAAGGAAACAACAGAATCGTTGTTTTGGATATCCTTGCCAAGAAGGAATTAAATTTACGTTTTGTGAAAAATCTAATGAATAAATGGAATGGTAAATTGTAAATGAAACTGTGCTTTGGAACACACAAGTTTTTCATATCAAACAAATTGAATTTATTTAATATTTTGTTAAACATTCAAAACTTGAGCACCTGGTGCCTTCGCTGCTTTTCATTGATCCATTGTAATCGTCACCTCTCTTTCGCCAAATGAATCTGTTTCGCCAGATAATTGAGATATCTTTGTTATCTGCACATCTCATTGGGAGTTATTCAGAGAACGTTTCATCTCTTTGGATCTTGTACGTACACAACGAGAATTTGCTTTACACAATTTTGCTATAACCCCGAAGAGTACATGAGAAACTGTTAGTATAATTTAGCTGAACTACCGCAGAAATCGCTGCGTTTAAGGTACTACTGGGAATATCCCCAGAACAAATAACACCCTTGATGTGGCTATAACATTGAAATAACTGAAGGCCAAATTATTTGAAACTGTAGATGCAAAGGCTATCCTTTTCTCACGGTGACAGCCCTAAAGTCCCAGGAGATTGCTAATTAGCGCAATAAAACATTGATTTTAGTTGCTCAAGAAATGTCCTCGTCCTGACTCATCTTAGCTATGTCGATCACGACAGTGAGTGTGTCAAAAGGAATTTGTTAACTCAAAAGGAATTTGTGAATTCATTGAACACTTGAGTGAAATGGATACTGAGTAATGTACATGTAACGCAATATCCTTAAAACGTGTATATAAAAGGAGGATTCAGCCAGATCCTGAAGGAGCGAACGCGAATCCGCATGGTGATTTTTGTGTGGATTAATAACCAAACCTGATACAAGAAGTGCTTGGTTTGGTGTGCTAGCAGTCATTGATGGGTGACCTACTGGAAGAAGTCTTTGACTGGGTGACCAGTTTCAGACAGTGTCTGGGTGGGCTGGTGCATTGAGCACTTGCTGGGACACAGAGGGACTGTTTCCTACTGGGTGACCTACTGGAAGAAGTTCTTGGTTTGCTGCGCTGGCAGTCATTGGCTGGGTGACCAGGTTCAGACAGTGCCTGGGTGGGCTGGTCCATAGAGCACTTGCTGGGACACAGAGGGACTGTTTCCTACTGGGTGACCTACTGGAAGAAGTTCTTGGTTTGCTGCGCTGGCAGTCATTGGCTGGGTGACCAGGTTCAGACAGTGCCTGGGTGGGCTGGTCCATAGAGCACTTGCTGGGACACAAGGTTCAGACAGTGCCTGGGTGGGCTGGTCCATAGAGCACTTGCTAGGACAGAGGGACTCACATCTGCACAGTGAATGTTGTATGGATAAATGTCCACATCAGACACACATGTGCAGTCTTTTTAACCAAGTTCCTCTGAAGTGGTAAATGTTAGCATCTGCATTTCTTCGAACATGAGGCTGATATGATTGATAAAAGCAACATTAGACTCACTAACTCACGAAGTATCAATGTATCTATTACCCTTAAACAACAAAACCCGGAATGTGAAAATACATTTAATGTTACATAGCTTCAATGTGATTTAACGCAAACAGAACACACAAGTGTGAAGAGACAAAAACTGTTAGTTTTTAATTTATTTCAGGGAATGCATCCAGTCTAAATGATATTGAGAACAACGTGTTTTTTCTGAAGCTTCTGTGGACCTAATTTCTCAACCTAACCAAACCCACTCTATGTTGTTGCAGGGCGAAATTAAAGGCGCCAATAATCCTGTATTCATTCCAGCCTTCTCCCGCTGGCACTTCATTTCGCAAAAAGGGACCATTCCTACATATTCTAAAGAGTTAGTTTCGCAATATTTGCACGAAGTACTTGCTACATTTTTATACTGATTAATAACATGTACATCATTCAGGGAAGATTTTCTGAAAATTCAAGAGGATGAAAAAAGTGATTAATTTCAGCAAAACGTACCGGTAGCTCCTTCGATGTAATCTTGTATGTGGGTGCTTTTGGATAATGGTGTCATATAGGAATGGACATATTATACACTCATTTTTGAGAGGAACTCTGTGAAAGTCTCATTCAGTTGTTGATACCATGGACTGTGAAAACCCTCTGATACAGGCAAACTAAATGCTTTGGGGCCACACAACATGGTCACATGAACATCTGGTCCAGATCAGGGCGTCCATGTTGGGTGACATACCAATGGTTAACCGGTCAGTGTATTTGATTTGATCAATGTGAACAACTGACAAGTCTTTGCATGTGTTTATTACTAGTGCCACCGGTGTGGCAGGACACGCTCATAGTTTTGCGAACACCTGGTATCATCACTATTTGACAGTGATTCATAAACACGCTCATCATATCCCATGTTGTCGATCACTGGATTTTCTGGTCCTGACAAATTTGTTTACAGATCTCGATGTACAGCTGTAATACTGCTGAATTGGGCGTCAAACAAACATGTACTCGTGATATAGTCAAAATTGTGCAGTCGACTCAAAGCAGAGATTGGCTGGTCCAAACTCGATTGTTTACAAATCCTCGCCATGTAACTGGAGTACTGTTGGGTGCAACGTTAAACAAACAAACAAACAAACAAAACATTGCTACATTTTCGATATACAATCATAACTTGTAACATAGCTGCCGCCTTTACCTCATCCATGATGGGGGCGGTGGGGTAGCCTAATGGTTAAAGCGTTGGCTCGTCACGCCGAAGACCCGGGTTCGAATCCCCACATGGGTACAATGTGTGAAGCCCATTTCTGGTGTCCCCCGCCGTGATTTTGCTGGAATATTGCTAAAAGCGGCGTAAAACCTAAACTCAGTCAGTCATCCATGATGGAATGTTATAATCGGCCCAAGTGGGTCTTCCACTTTGCTCTTTTTCAAATTGGTTCAGAGCGGTGTATCGGGAAAGCTGTGGGATGACATCAGCCAACATTTCCCCAAAGGGACGAAAACAATCTGGGGAAATCGTTCTCTGTATGAAGCTTCACTGATCACATTGTTGTACTTCCACGGTGTCGCTGTAGCTTATGTTTTAGTGATCTGATTACAGGGAAAAGACAATCAATAAAATGCAATTTGCGTTAAATATGTTTGGTAACTTACCGCGAAACGTGTAAGTTGGAACTTAGAATATATTCCTATATTCAGAGCAGTACACTGGGACGGTAAATTAATCACTGATCAACACAGGCACGATAATCTAATTTAAAATGGTATAAGTGTGTTTGTATGTTTGTTAAGCTAAACACTCTACAGCATGTGTACGAGTGAGTGAGTGAGTTTAGTTTTACGCCGCTTTTAGCAATATTATAGCAATATCACGGCAGGGGACACTGGAAAATGGGCATCGCGCAATGTACCCATGTGGAGAATCGAACCCTGGTCTTCGGCGTGTCGAGCGAACGATTTAACCACTAGGCTACCCCACCGTCCCACTTGTGTACGACAAATATTATTTTGTTAACATTAGATGTGCAATGGTAGGAGCGGCTATTATTTCAATGTCTCTTATTAGATTTAGCGTGGCGGCTTTCGGTGAATTGTACATTTTGTTTCGTCGACTGGCACTCAGTATTTTGACCCTGTATTGTAAATACACTTCGCGTTCTACAATACAAAGTCAGGCGAAACAAATTAAATTACAGTCAGTAGTATTTTTGTAAGTAATTTTAAACATTATTACATATGCCATGTTCCTGGGAAGTTTGAAATATGATTTGCGATTTTGGCGCTTATCTGTGAGTGAGTGAGTTAATATTTAGCGTCACATCGGCAATATTGCAGCCATGTCGTGACGAGAACAATTCAATTTATATCAATGGTAAAATAAATAAATTTAGAACGTAAAAACTGCACAGTAAAAATACTAGATTATCACAGCTCTTAATTAAAACTAGTACGCTATCATAAAAGTATATCACTAGAGACAACAGTACAATATAAAAAACGGGCTGTAGATCTCCAGCAACTGACGGTTGATCACCATACTATCACAGGCGCTTATCTGTCTTCACACACTGATCAATCTCTAGTTATTTTTATACACCTGATTTGATGACGTCACATATACTCTTTCCGGATCAACTGTCTGTCTGTGGTCTTTGTTTGAGAGCCAAGTGAAATAATAAGCGAATGATAATAAGTACATATCACATGAGTGTCTCCCATCATGAAATACGTGACGAGCAGTTGATACAAGTTACATATATCTGATTTAGCCAGTTTCCAAAGATCTTCGTACAGAAAGTATTAATTACATTCTATACACAAAAGAATTAGTTTCAACACTACAATGATTAATGATTCTTCTAGGTATCTTACAGAGGTCACGACCCATATACTAACCTTTATCTGCGATTTTTATTCTTAGCTATCAGCGTTGTCTTTGGCATATATAATGAATGTATTTCTGACCATAATCAGTGCCAGTCTAGAGGTCGCAATGGAAAAGCATATCTCAAGGTGAGTTTTCTCAAGACCACTGTTCCCTAGAAAGTTGCATGTCTAAAGTATAACATATTTTGGCGTTAAGTAGTAAGCCCGCTTATATAGAAATCATCTTTAGAAATAACCAACAGTGGTCACTTTGTGAAGATTAAAACTACAGCGTTATCTTTTGTTTTCATTAAAATGCGCAGTTAATGTCTCTGGTCTGACGAGACGAGAGCTATAATATCCACTTCAGTGATGAGACAACGGAGGCCGCAGTGCATCCTTTTTCAAATAGTTATTTTATTGGGAAAAAAAAGCCTTGTCTAAATTTATATTTTCTGGACATGCTGGATGTCCTGAGAGAAATATGGAGTGAAGACAACATAATACAGTTACCAAAATGTGTGTAAAACACGTTTGTCTTGAAACAATTTTAGAAAATAGCAAGAATTACAGTTCCACACTCCATCAGAAGGTGAAAGGATCAGTGCTTTAATTATAAAATGGTACCACTTTTGTTGGAAAAAGGTACTATGTTCTAGTCAATAGCACTAATTTATGTCCAGGCTGTTGGCCCTTTCATCACTTGTGTGGGCCTCGTATGGATCTCCCGTCGACCAGCATGCCACGCCGGAAACAATGGCGTTGTACAACAGCATGTTGAAGCTGGCCCGTAGTCCTGACAAGGTCATGTTTGGACACCATGAAGACACACTGACCGGTATATCTCCTGGTCGCCATAACTACCAGGTTACCAAGTACGCACATGCCTGGAAACCATTTTGGAAATTTACGGTAAGTAGTACTACTGAATTGTCATAATTTTACCTGGATTGTCTTTCATTTAGCCAATTAGTAAAGATGGCTATATGCCACAGTCAGCACTAAAGGTGGTCTCAGGGGGGTAGGGGAACTCAAAGTCATCCTTGTGAGAGACGAACGTTTTAACCAACTGAGCAGCCTGTCTTAAGTGAAGAGACAGGCTACAGTATACGTTGGTCCTCTAATAATAACTGTTTAGTTTAAACACATTTCATTCACAATATGAAAAAGATCGGGGACAAGTTCTTACCACTGAAATCCCTCTCCAAAGATATTTACAATCACTAATTACATCGCAAACAATTATTAGAAACAGAGACAGAGAAAGATTGACAGTCCAGGGGAAATGTTATAATACAAAATGTGTATAGAAAGTATACTACTGGAATCGTTTAGATTTGCAAATATACTGATGTACATTTTTTAATATAATTTTATTTTTATGATTTGTCAGATCTGCAATGCCGTTTACAATAACAGATAGTGTAATAACATAATTACTAGCACATACATCTTGAATGGCATTAAACATCATATTTCTATGTTGATTGTATAAAGAACATTCTAAGAAATAGTTATGAGCATTTTCGCATGGATCAGTGTTTAGCCTTACTCTGTACAGATCGTAACTTAATCTACTAACTCCACGACGTAGTTGCGTGTGTAATATGTTACATTTTCTAATACCGTAAGAAAAGTACAGTAGAGCTGAGTTATATGATGTTATTATGCTCGATTTTAATTTTAACAGTGAAGTACAATTTCTTACCTCTGTGGATAAATTGTTCCACAATCTAATAGTCGATGGGAAGAACGACTCGTGAGAAACTTTTATTCTTGCTACTCTTACAATATCTGACCTTAGCTGCAGTAGATATCCTGTTAAATCCTAGTAAATGCGTTCGTTCGTCACCTCTAAGGCTTGGTTTCTGTGCTCGTACTCATTAGCTTTAGTTATGTCTGTGACTCTTCCTTGTCTTTTCTAAATTAGACATTCTCATTTCGTTTGAGTTTATATTGTGTACTAAATATGTCTAGCAAACATTTTCGTTAAGCTTTACTTGCAAATAATGATCACTCACCGTACATAATTCGAGGCCGATAGATGTGCAGCATTGCTTTCCAATGCTCAACATGGATGGGCAATCCTCATCAAAAGAATTTCATCGCATGGCTTTATGACTGCCATTATCAATTTTTCTTATTTGTTGTTCTGTTTCTGTTTGTTTTTCTATGTTTAGTTCCTTGAACTGGCATTTCACTTCTGTAAACAGAAATCACTAGGGCGAGTGAGTGAGTGAGTGAGTTTAGTTATACGCTGCTTTTAGCAATAGACCCGAATCTGGGTCTTCGGCGTGACGAGCGAACGCCTTAACGACTAGGTTACATCACCGCCCCTAGAAACAACTAGATCAATGAAGCTGACACTTTAAATACTCGTTCACACCACATGCTGATATCAAAATGTATTCTAAATATTTGAAAAAGATATTCAGTGTTGTGGCTATTCATGACTGTGAATCAAATTAAACGTCATCTAATTTGTGATGTAATCTGCAAATAGTAGGCGTACACATGCGACCTGTCTTTGTATTTTCTCTTTTCGACGAAAAAACAACAACTGGAAATGAATCTGTGTCATGCATGATTTGCTACCTTTACGTCAGATTATATTCAAGTCATTTCAACTGTAATCTATGTGCAGTATATTACTCCAAATATCAGTTCTAATATCAATTACTTAATAACATCACATTGGAAATTTTAGCTTTCAGATGAGCTGCATTGACATTCACCAATTTACATTTGTGTTCAATTGGTGTAGACAAAGATACACATTCACAAATTTCTTCTTGAGCGTAAATATTGTTTGTTATAGACTTCACAAGTAGATCGTGGTGATGAGGACGAGTTATCAGACATACGAAGTGTAACTGGGGAGTATCCTGCTATCGTGGGCTTCGATTTCAAAAACTTCGACGCCGACGAAATGAAAGTTGTGACCTACCTGGTGAAGAAAGCCCACGCCAGAGGTCAGGTTATTACCGTCTGTCAGCACAACAACAACCCAGTGTCTGGGGGATCCTTCAGACTAAGCTGGGACAACGGCACTGTGATCCACACACTCAGACGCTCACTGCCCGGTGGGGATGCCCATGCTAATTACAAGGCCAACTTGGACAAAATCGCTTCCTGGGCCAACACCCTGAAGGACGCTAATGGGAAGTCCATCCCCATCATCTACCGACTGTTCCACGAGATGGACGGTGATTGGTTCTGGTGGGGCATGAACAACAGGTGCCACAACACACCCAAGGATGTACGAGATATTTTGAAATACACCGTTTCCTACCTCAGGGACGTTAAGGGGGTCCATAACTTCCTGTACAACTTTGCCATCGACTGCTATTCGACGACAGACAATTTTCACAAGCTGTACCCTGGGGATGACTACATTGACATCATTGCTGTCGACTACTACTACAAATTTACCCCGACCACAACAAAGGAAGCCTTGAAGACCAATCTTGCAAACCTTGTAGACATAGCCGAAACAAGAGGAAAGATTCCAGCTATAGCAGAGGCAGGTATGTTCGATGATGGAATCTACAACCATACAAATTTCTGGACTGACAATTTCTTAACTATAATGAAGACCGATCCCAAGTTTCGTCGCATCCTGTACATCTTAGGGTGGCATAACATTTGCTGGTCAAACGCTATATGCGAATACTGGGTCCCTTTCAAAGGATTCAGTGGTGCCAGTCAGTTCCACGATACATTCTACAAAGATCCTGTAATGGTATTTGAAAAGGAAATACGTGGTATGAATGTTTATGGTTGAAATAAAATGATTGTGCTTCCTGTGTGGTTTGTATGTTCACCCCGAGGCGCGTCCAATAGGCCTGCAACAAGTGTAGCCTTATCAGCATTATACCTTACGAATGCCTTCAGGTTTCTTTAAATGGTAAACATCTAAGACCCACATCACTTCATCCAACATCAATCATGAGGTGATACAGTGCGAAAAAATGAAACAAAGCGGTGAACCCATTTCGTTCATTCAAATGCATAGTATATTTTACTGCACGAACCTTACTGTTTAATTGAGTGAGTGAGTTTAGTTTTACGCCGCTCACAGCAATATTCCAGGTATATGGCGGGGGTCTGTAAACAATCTGGACCAGAAATGCAGTGAGAAACAGCATGAGCATCGATCTATGCAATTTCGATACCGGGTTCATATTTAAATGTTCACCCCACATACTTCATTCAGACACAATGCCAATCCCTCCAGATAAACACGTGTTATGTTTGTCGGGTCAAGGGTGTTGCAGTTTGATTTGAACATGATTCACGTTCTTCTGCCTTGGCGATACTGGTCTATTTATCGCGGTGATCGGAGCTCATTCGCCAGGTGATTTTGGAACGTTTCTCCAGTTTATAAGGTCCATTTGCCTTAGAGATGTTGGTTTATGTACCTTGAGAATACGGGTCCACTCGCCTCTGTGATGTTGGTACATTTCCCGTGGATGGTCCATTTGCCTATTCGCACCTTTGTGACCGGGGTCTATTGTCAAGTGCATTTCCCTTCAGTTTGTCTATGACAATCAATCGTGTATTAGTCTTTGTGACCACTGATCTCCCTGGATTGATGCTGCCAGCGGTACCTGTCACGGTGTAAACATGTTCTTTCCTATCGTGTTACAGGGTTTCAATTGCCTAAATAGTCTTTTAAACGATTTATATTTAAATTTTCCATGTGTATACTTTTATTTACCTGGCTGTTAAGTCCAGTCACAAGAATCGGTCCATTGGATATGGAAATTGAGACACACATTGCCAAGTCACAGAGACTAACTAAAACTAACAAACTGATTACCATAGACTTGCCTCTTTGATTAAATACCTTTGATTAGATTTATACAAAAGCATCTGAGATACTATTTGATGTTTAACAAAATGATTCAATTAAAATTTCAAAGTAGACCCTCTCGGTAACAGAAACGTTACCCATGTCAAATGAAGAATTGCACAAAATGAAGATATTCTGTTTTAAAGAAGCAAGTCTCAGAATGTGCAATTATGATTTGGCAGGTAACGTTATAACCATGCTCTATATATTCCCTACAATACAGAGGTGGGCATATACCCCGACAAAAACCTGCAATACTTTCCTGCAATATGAGACGATAGCGATGTTGACATTTCAGGAATATATAGAACCTACGTAAATCTGACGAAGAAAGCCGACTTCGCTGCTTCAATGGCTGTCCCCCAAAATAGCATGAGTGCCGCCAGCGAGACGACGGCTTCTTTCACTTGGAAAAGTAAGACCTTCCATAATAAGTGGGGCACGAATTACACGTCGTGACAAATGAAGGCACCGAGAGCAACTTGGCCGGTGGCAAGGTTGTCAAATGTCAAAAGTGGAGAACAGGACGAAACGAAATTCTATAGTGGTATTATTACGTGGTGTCATAGTCCTTATTTCAAATATCAGACAGTGATTACAATTTTTGGAGCAAAGTAAGGCCCAATGATTACCTTTTAGGAAAAAACAACAACACCAGTTCAGATTTCGATTCATAATTAAACCAGAATTTAAGAACAATGATAAAATTTAATTTGTTATGTTTTCGCTCCGACAGGAATCCTTTCAAGGTTGAGTTAGTGACAAAAGACTACACCAAGTGTCAGTGCTCGTATAAGAAAGGGTTTCTCAACAACTGAACATTATTGTGCAATTTTTATCAGATTATCATTATATTTACTAATTTCCGTGTGATACTTCATATCGCCAGCGTATTCTTTCTCGAATGTAAGAGTGTATTCACGATCAAATTGTATCCGATATGCATATTCTCCATAGGATGAGAATCTCAATCCCAATATAATATGATATGTACGACTTTTAAGGGTCCTACTACAAGGATAAAGTCTTGGCAAATGATTGAACTCACAAAATAGACATGTGCATATATACTCTTAAAAAAACAACTAAAAAGTAGAAAACGTGGAAATCTCTGACAGAGTTTTGCAGATATTCATATACAATGACCACCAAATATGGATTTCTCGTGTCTGCATGCATCAAAAGTGAATTGTATGGACAAAAAATACCGAAAATAAGGGTGAAACGCAAATCACATGGGGGCATAGCGGCTAAAAATTCCAACATGAAAATTTTAATGTACGTGTACAACATGAATTGCTGGGTTATGAAAATGATGATACAGCAAGTGAAACCATGGCACAACTGACAGGGGCTCAACGCAACAACGCCATCGGCCAACTGTTGTCGGCTTCGGCAGTAGCCAGGTTTTTTTCGCCAAGCTCCACTACAAGACTATGGAACAGTTCCCCTCGACTGATTGAATTGAATCTGAGGGTAATCAGGACTAGGTATTGTTTTGCACAGACATTACATATTTATCTTAGTAACGTTTAAAAACCGTTCATTTTAATGTTTTTCGGTTCACAACCAGTTTGTCAGGTAATACTTTCTTTTGACAGCTGAGTAGAGACTTGATAATAGAACGATAAAAAAGACCGAGAAATGAGTTCACGCTCATGTAACCAAGTCACTGAGACTAACCAGCCTCTCTGATATTGACGCCATATACCACAAAGAGCTTGCTTCTACTCTAAACCCGGTCCTGTCCACTCGGGGTTTTTTCTTAACGGTATGCGATGCCCTTGCTTCTTTCATCATAGACACATTGTTACTTGTGAAAGCTATGACTCATTTGCCAAACACATTTGATTAAATTAATATATTTTAAAAATATCTTTCAGAAACAGATATGTTCGACAAAAATATTTCTACCGAAATATCAAAGTGGATTCACTCCATCCAATAGCTCCTCCAAGTCAATAAAAAGGACAGTTAACTAGCTCAAATATCGAGTTCCATACCATGAAGAAATTCAATTTCAAGAACTAAGATCTAAAAGTGCTATAATGGACAGTATGAGTCACACACATGTAACGTTAGAACCATGCCATACATATACATTGACAACAAAACACTACACTACCTTTAACGAGCAGCATATTGCTGCAATATGAGACTACAGAAAAAGTAACAGAACCTACGCAAATATCACGACAAAATCCTACTTCGAAGCTTCACTGCCCGTCCTCCAAAATAGCATGAGTGCCGCCAGCGAGACGATGGTTTCTTTCACTTGAAAAGTAAGACCTTTCATAATTAGTGGGGCGCGAATTACACCTCGTGACAAATGAACCCACCGGAAGCTACTTTGCCGCTGGCAAGGTTGGCAAATGTCAAAATTCTACCGGGATATTTTAAGCATCCTCGCCCCTGTTTCAAATTACAGACACTGATTACAACATTGTTATCAGTGAAAAAAGGTCTGATGAAAAATGTCAATATTATATTCCTATCCTCTAACATATTTACGGCAGCGGATGGTCACACCACAAAGTGTAAAACCTTGGTATAACTTATCACTTCCCTGTTAGGGCGGTGGGGTAGCCTTGTGGTTAAAGCGTTCCCTCATCACACGGACGACCCGGGTTCAACTCCCCACTAGGGTATTGTTTGAAGTCCATTTCTGGTGTTTCCAGCCGTGGAATATTGCTTAAAGTGGCATACAACCATGCTCACCAGCATTATTCTGTTCCCACACTAAGTTACCAGGCAGTAATATAACTATGTTTTTGTCAAGAGTTGTAGATATTTTATTAGAAACACACATAATGTATCAACGTACGACGGAAAGTGTCATGCCAAGCGAAACTATATCCACTCAATTTTCCAACTCTGTGGCTTTGTATGGGTTTAAATGCCTTCAAACACAATCAAATAAATACCATGATTGCAATTTTGATGTCTGTAAGATTTAGAGAATACATATTTTTTATCAGTGCTGTTTGCGGACTTTACCCTTCATAGATCCGGACAATGTCCTCAAGGAGAGTCTTAATGGACGACTTGATTACAACAGAACCAGAAAGCCCCATTCAAGGACACCAATGCCAGGAGAAGTCTGGCTATTTTCTGAAAAGATTTAACCTGAAGACATCTCTTTGTCATCTTCATCTCGCGGTTTAGTCACAGTTCGATAACCAGTTTTTTCTTTGTCAAATCCGCTTCTGCTCATAAGGGATCAATATTTAATTTGGATGATGACAAATATTCTTCCTGCCTTCGGCATTAACTATTCATATATATCTAACATAGGAGTCCGCGTATGAAAAGAATCGATAAATCATTATTCTTGATTTCTTCACAGAGTATTGTTGGCAAAAGATCTCGGATATTTGCCAAAAGTATAGCATACTGAAGTTCAGTGTTACGACAATCGACCTTAATTTACATTTCGCCAAATCCCCCCATTGAAAGTGAGTTAGCATTGATAGTTCAGCCGGGTTTTACAAACACTTGTGGAATAAGACATCCTTCCGTCACATCCTATATTCAGACGTAGCACTTCACTCTGACACAGTCATTAAAGTCCTCCGCGAAGTGGAAACTTCAATTTTAGAAATTAGGCAGAGAAGACGTCTGTATTTCCACTTCAGTTTCGTTACAGAAACTGAAAAACACTGTTAAAGCAGGATTTTGTTTTTGTTTTTGTTTATTTTGTAAGTCGCATTTAGCCATATTCCAGCTGTATCACGGCGGTTACGGCGTCTAATCTGGACCAGATAATCCAGTGCCTGACATTACGAGCTTCCATCCACGCCGTCGCAGATCAGTGACATGGATCGTTTGTTAGTGTTTTGGTTTGTTTGTTCAATGTTCAGGAACCCATGCTTGTCGTAAAAGGCGACTTAAGGGATCGGGGGTCAGGTTTGCTGGCATAGACAATATTTCATGTATATGAAGGCGGTCTTTAACGATCGAGTCGGGACAAGAGTGAGTGAGTTAAAATTTAACGTCACATCGGCAATATTGCAGCCATATCGTGACGAGAACAGTTTATATCAATATTCAATAAATGTATAACATAATAACCTGTCATCGAAGGACAGTAAAAATACTAGAGTATCACAGCTATATAAATTTAAAACTAGTACGCTATCGCAAAATTAAATCATTATAGACATTACAAAATATAAACGGGCTATAGATCACCAACAACCGAAGGTAGATCACCATACTAGGGACCATGGGGACTCTCAGTACCTTTGCTACCTGCATGGACCCTAGCTGGATTTACACCCTCCCTTCAGCCATTGGTGATTGAAGACAAATCTAGCCATAAATAAAAAAACAAATATACTACGATAAAAAAAGTGGCAAGTTTAAATTTCCTTCAAATGTGTTGCGACTTACGTACCCTCTCAGGAGGACAATTATTTTACAATGCTTCAACCCCCTTTGAGGGTAAGCCACTAACAATCGAAGTTGATAATCTAAACTACCATTTATAAAACCGTATCTATTTACCAAACATATATCAAAATTCATTTAACAAATCTATCTCTTTTAAAAACCCAAGAATGAAATGAAAATAAACAGTATTAAAAGATCCTTAACAGTTTTAAGATTGAAATATTTATCCCTTATGATGGAGAATTCAAGAAGAGGTGGTCCGATACTGGGACAGCATGGACCACGGCTTTCTAATTTCTTTGATCAATGCCCCGCTGCATTGAAGCCTGCATTGCTGCCCATGGTGATTTGACAAAATACTAACTGTTCACCTGTCTTTGAATCTGAAGTTATGTTCCGCTAATATTCACATTTAATACGTGAGTAAAGAGTTAAAAATATATTAAAACATTACAATCTTTAAATTCTCAATAATTTCTGGTTGTACTGTACATGGAATATTGTAGAGTGAAGCTGGCTGGCTGGTTTGTTTTGTTGTTTTACGCCGCACTCAGCAATGTTCCATATATGTAACGGCGGTCTCTAAATGACCGAGTCGGGACCAGACAATCCAGTAATTGACATCATCGATCTCAACAATACGAATACGATGACATGCCAGCAAACCTGACCACCCGATCCTGTTAGACACGCATTGCTTAAGAGATCTCTTAATGTTTCCGTAATGATGATCAGCAGAAGATCCAACTGGCCTCACCACCACAAGATTGATTTCATTAGCTGTGTATGACAAGGTGACAAATCAAGATCTACAGCTTCGTTATTCAAACAGCATCGGTGGCAAAGGCAATTATGTCGACATTGCAAGTTCATTAGCGAGGAAATAAAGTTTTCTAACATATTGACATCTGCGGAGTATTAAGGGGTATTAACTTTGTCCTTAAAGAAGAAAATGTTATGTTAACAGGATCTATTATATTCGGTTGATGAGCATCATTATCTTAAAGAACATTAACGATCGGCAGTCCACATCGGTTTTCAGTATTCTATATAATCACACGTTTGAAATAGAGACAAATGACAATGAATTATAACAGGTAATCACGCTCTAGTTACATTAGGTTACTTCTCTCTATAGGACTTACACATTTTACCTATGAAATTCAATATAATCAACCGTATATTGCAGATCCAGAAAGGTCAGGAATGAGATCGTTCCTGTAGATAGCCGTGTTCCCAGTCGTAAACATTCTGAGGATTTGTTGCCATGATCCGTTCTTATCGTAAGTCGGAATGGTCAATATGGCGTAGCACCAGTACATTGTTTATCATGGACAATAGTTTTGTCTATTTTAAGTTGAAGGAAACAACTTTCACTCTCCAGCACTAATCTACTTCTCTAACATAGTGGAGATTCCGGGGTTGTCAAAGTCCCCAGTGCCCACTTCCTGCCATTTAAGATGAATAGTGAGGGAGCACGCTATCGTGGCTCCGGATTGGATTTAAGCCACTGGCATGGTAATGATTCTGTGACCAGCAATTATGATAAGGGCAAAAATTGGATTCGAACCTATGATCAACTTGCATATCACGAAAAGCTATTACGTACTCTCCAACCTTTGCTCCACCATATGAATTTGAAATTATGGGAACCATACACCCTTTGATGACAGGTAACGAAATAAAATATTGATGCCATTTGGAGAATTGACATGGTGGTAAACCTCATGAACGGCCCGAATGACCCGTAACCAATTTGGACAACCAAAATAATGTTAGAATTTATAGATGTATTGTGCATTAATGTATATATTAAAAGAAAGAATGGTACACCGCTCGAATTTGTGTTTGTTTTGAAAACGCCGTCGTTAGATTTGATTTTCTCTGTCATTCAGTCCTGCAACAGTTTGGAAAAAGTAGTATTTGACTTTTTATTTTTTGTGTTTGTGTAAAAGTAGACTGACTCAAAGCATACTGAGTTACGAACAACATGATACCTACCATGTCGAAAAGGTAAAAATGGGCCGAAAAACTCAAATATATTGATTTTGAATGTTTCTTTTATAAATGAACTTAATTAAGTCGCAATCAATATGTTTTCCCAGTCATGGACGTGAATATTGGCTCCTGAAAAATATTTATCATGTATTATCGACAGAAAAATTTGTAAATATTGATTATATTTAGATATGGATTGCTAAGATAAAAGGGTGATGAAGGTACATGTATATTAATGTAACGGAACTGGCCATTGTGCAATTTAGGAGTACCACGTTTTGTTTGTTTGTAATGCCTCTAATGCTCTTACATAAAACATATTTACCATTTGTATATTGTCAAAAACCTAAATCCCTATTAACTACTAATACCGAAACACTTCTAAGAAGAGAATGTACTATACCATGCATATGAACTAAGAGCATTCCATTAAGACATATCGTTTTGTTTGATTTCTCCACGTACTGTACCATTATGTCCATGTAAAGTAAACTCATATTTTGTTATTGTATACATGTGTAAATTTATGTAAAATGTGTATATATGTTGTATACGGGCCTGTCGCCTATAGACATTAATGAATTGCCGGCAGCTTGGTATACAAGTTATCAGCTGATGATGGTTATTTTCGGAATTAATTTCTGTCCTTAAATACTTGATCAGCTGCTTTCTGCAGCCACCCTCTACATTATATGTGTAAATGTCCACTTTTCTACTTTAATATATTTGTTAGACACTTTACAACGTTTTTGCAAAGTTGTTTTGAATAATTTAAGGATTTCAAAGAGTGACACATTTCATCTAAGCTTATTATACCGTGCGTGTCTTCATGTTTCGCTTAATCAACATTAGATTGGATAAAATGACAGGAATGTAGACGGTAGTCTTTGTATTTTTAACTAAACAGATACGTTTTCACATTAGATGTCACTTTTGAGATGAACATAAATATCAAATGGAAATTACCGCATCATATTGCATGCATGGAAATAGAAGCGACAAAACAAATGCACATGTCTGCTTGCAAGCTCTGCTGAGATCCTTTGTACCATACCGACTGTATCATAAGCGCGGTGTCTTCGAATCACCATATAATAATAATTTTATCCTGGTGAACTATGTATGTAAGACCACGTCATTCAAAGTATATTTATTCGTTCCATGATTTTAATAGTAGGATATGTGTTCATTTAATTCATGGCTAAATTCGTCAAAATAGCTAACATCAGAAGGAATGGTGTAAGTCCAGCTAGAGTCCATGCAGATGGCAAGGTACTTCAAGTCCTCATGGTCGCTGGTATGGTGATCTACCTTGGTGATCTGTAGCCCATTTTTATATTGTATTGTTGAAGATAGAAATAGTGCTTTATGATTATATGCTAGTATTATGTGTAAATATGTGATAGACTAGTTATTTTACTGTCCTTTACAGACAGGTAAGTATATAAGTTTTTTTTATTCATTTATACATTTACGAATCTACAACTTTCATAGCCACGATATGGTTGAAATACTGTCGATGTTTTTTTAACTTTTGACTTACTCACCCACTCACTGTTGAACTAGTGTTATTCGTCACGAATACATGCAGATGGAAGGTAATTCATGGAACAAACCTAGGTACATGCAGTAGAAAACGTACTTTCTTTGGATACCAACTTCGTCATCGATGTGTCATGTTCTAAATGTCCTCCAAATGTTTATGGTGAAACCATTTGTTAACCTGAATAGAAGTCTTTTGATCAAGCACCATATCAGGTTCGTTAAAACCTTTTTAGTACGTTCAATTGAATCGAAAAATTGTGGAGACACTAAAGTTGATCACGGGTTGTCATTAGCATGGAATTTTGCATGCGTCGCAGTCGTAGATTGCGTATATGCAAGTAACCAATTGCAGAAATCTAAAACTTACCAATGCAGTGTTATTAATCTGCTTCTCAGTATTTCAGATATTGCCGCGTGCGGCTTATACTTATATATACATGCACTCTGTAATCGTGGAACAGACGTTTTACTCATGCAACGTACACCTTATTTCACCGTTTCAGAACCGAAATCCTACTCAAACATGAACGTAAACATATGAAATATCGAAATGTAAAGATTCTGTTAAGGGTTGTCATGATTATTCTGAAAGTCACAAAGTCTCTGCATCTTCCGAACGGTCTGTGGACATATGGTGCACAGAGACGGAATTCGATCGGCGTTTCCAGTCGCCTTTTATATAACTACTACAGCGATCGTACACAACATGGGGTAAGCCTACTGCAAGATGATCGATAGGAACTTCAGTTGTGACATAAGACAAGGATTACCTACAAATCTATGTCTGGTTTTCAGATATGACCATGCCACAGTCTGGTAGCTTCGACAAACGTGGGCCATGCTGTATTATTACTGTCAGTGGTGAATATAGCAATTATCGTACACCGTTGAGCTACACTAGCGGTTGCTGGTCCTGACGAGAAAAGTGACATTGTATAACAACTTTCAGTTTGGCAGGCCAAACATCGCAGCGCGCCAGTCCATAATAAATTCTGACACCTGAAATATTACTGAACTTGGTATGAGTCAGTATCTCTTCATGAGCAAATATATCAAGAAAGGGTTCACTGTGTGGTGGGGTTAAATTGCTCAATTGTGCGCTCGCAGAAGACCAGGGTTCGATTCCCGAGATATGAACAAAGAGGGGAAGCCCATCTCTCGTGTCTCCCTAAGTGATATTGCTGGAATAGTGCTGCAAGCGGCGTAAAACTAAACTCACTCACCCAAGTGTCTTGTTGTACAATTGCCGATATTTGTACTACGGTCTTCCCTGTACCAACTTCCACCACTGGACTACCCCTAAACCGTAGAATAACTTTAACACAAGTGACGTTTGTACAGCATCATGCAATATGATATCGTTGAATAACCTTTTATAACAGGACCTTGATGTGTTCAAATTAATACACAAGTTTTTAAGTGAAAAACGTGAGGATGGTTAAAGTCACGCTGATTTAACCACGTGTAACATTAATACCTATCAATGTCGCCAGAAATGTGGACACTATAATCAGTACGTATTGAATTACACATTGTGAGAAGGGCATCCTTACAGAATAGCCATCGGCGCCTATGAGGGTTTCAGATTTGCAAAGAAAAAGGACAAAAGAAATTAGTCTGATGTTGTTTTGAAACCAGAATGTGTGTTGACCATTTCTAGGGTCCCCCGCAGAGAATATTGCTAAAAGCGGCGTAAAGTTAAACTCACTCATTATCTGCAAATGACAACAGAGTCATTGCCATATACAAAGAGTGCTTCCGTTAACGTGGATGTTAATATCATTGCCAAAAGGGCAATATCCGTTAGGTTGTCTTTAAAAAGTGTAATTTCTTTCATCTGAATCATGTTGATCAGGTATAAGTACCACAAGGTATTATTGAACAAAATACATTCTGTTAAATTTTAGAAACAAACGATTGAAAGACATGGTAGAGAGTTTGTTCGTTGGATGCTTTTATTTCAGCATATTAATCAGATATTGTCCTTATGTGCGGGTACGTATAGTTAAGCATTAAGTCCCAAAACTTTCAAAGTAAAATTTAAATTTACTAGATTTTTGTTAGGGTTCATGCAGGTAGCAAAGGCACTGTATGTCCCCGTGGTCCCTAGTATGGTGATATTTAGTTGCTGGCGATCTGCAGCCTGTTTTCATTTTACATCGTCTTCTATAGTTAAATTGTTTGAAATTTACATACTAGTTTCATATTCATATCTGTGATATTCTAGTTATGTTTACTGTCCTTCGTTGACAGATTTTTTATAATTTATATATATTTATGGTGAATTTAAAACGTGTTTTAGTCACAATATGGATGAAACATTGCCAACGTGAATGTTAATCTTAACTCACTCACTTAGCACAATCAGAATGAAAGTGAGGTGAGGTGAAATTGGGTTTAACGTCGTGCTTGAGAATATTTCGCTCATATGACGACGTGCATGCGTGTGTATGTGTATGTGCGGCTACTTGTACTAGCCCAGACTTAAGCTAGTTTTATAGTGCTAGCCCACTGAGATACCACTCCGCAGTGAAGCATGAATACCCCACTCAGACACATTATACTGACTCCGAGCCGACCAGTCCTTGTTGTACCCATTAATGCCGAGCACCAGGCAGGGACCAACAAGTACCATATATGTTAACATCTTTTGGTATGACGCGGTCGGGGATCGAACCCGCGACCTTCCACTCTCCGGGCGGACGCTCTAACCACTACACCACGGAGGCGGTCCAGAATGAAAGTACATCTGTTACTTCCACTTAAATTCACTTCGCTATCCAGTCGCCTCATCGGTAATGTACGAGAAGTAAAGTTCTGCACAGTCATACATATGAACGCGACACCTGTCGGTGAAATGAAAGAGAAACAACAAAGAAAAGGCAACGGTAAAAATAATCCCGTTGGAAAATCGATGAAATCAGATCGTGATCAGCTGGAATATCAACAGAAATGTCAAATGTATATAAAATAATTACTCTTTGTCTGAGAGATCAGATTTGTGTGTTTTTGTGTTTGTATATTTGGTTGTTCGGTTGATAAATATAACAATATGTTCAATACAGAACTTGATAACGTCTACTTTAAGCGCCCTAAATTGACTTGACAAACTCACGCGCTTTCTAAGGATATACAGAACTCAAAATAAGTTCTCCATTCTGCCATGCCAATTCAAACCCAAACCCTTCCGTGCTGGTGATGATGTTGATGGAATGGACATGCAATGTTGTTAGTAGGTTAGAATTATGGAAACGCCGATAATAGCTTGAAAATGTCTGTTGAAGGGTCTCCGTGACTGTTATTGAGCACTTAATAGCCTCCAAATGTCTATTCAGACACAGGGGTTAATGCGGAGGTCACAATATTCCAGCTTTATCACGATGGCGTGCAAATACTCATTGTCATCATCACCACAACACGAGATCCAATATTGCAATATTCGTAACTACTCTTGTCATTCCGGCCAGCCGGATGGCGACTCGTATCCCTCACGTGGCCATGTTCACGACTGGGCCTTGTCTAGGCGCAAACAGGCACGGACATGAAAATAGTCCAGGACTATTTTCCAAGGAAAGATTACTCTGAATTTCGAAACATGGCTACCGCTAGAAATATATAATACAACACGAAAGCCACTTTAAGTAAGTTTATTATGCCGTTAACAAATATCAGTAATAAGATATATTTATAATAACGTAAACAGAAATAAAAATCGACAAGCGCAAAGAAACCATTTGACTCATTTCACTTTTTATCACATCGCGATTTGATTGGTTTGCCACGATTGTATGCAATAATGGCGTACTATACAAGTACGAGTCTTCTTGTAGGTCAAAGAAAGGGGCTAGTAGTTACGAATGCCAATATTGTTGATCCAACTGATGGTTGTATGCTTAATGTTTGTTCAGTATTCTGTGTTTTGCTTAAGGCCGCACTCAACAAATATCTCAGCTATGTGTCGCGGTTTGTAAAATAAATCATTTTTAACAAAACAATGACAGACATCATGAATTTAGTAGTCAGCCTAAATGACCGAGAGCTTCGTTTTTCGCGCACGCTCCCGATATCGTTCTCTCGTTTTTATAACTGTTCAAAATATGATTAGTTATTATAACACATGTCTTGTATGTTAAAATTATGTATAGTGTAGCAATAAGATCATTCTAATTTATCACTGTAACACTTAGCAGTTATGGATTGTTCCAGTGACCGGCTCGAAATGTCACTGCAAGCGCTAACGTCATCCGAAAATGTGAGGTTCATTCTGAGATTGTTTTATTCTTTAAATCCACTAAAAATGTAATTGGTAAACTACATTTTAATTTAATGACGCGTCCTATTTTGGTGGTTAATCGCATTCTTCAAAAACGTTCCCCAGCCCGTTACAATGAGTATCGATCTATGCGGTAGGTTTGCGATAATTAATGCGTGTTAACCAAGTCAGCGACCTTGACCACCCGATCCCGTTGATTAAACAGCATGTGGCATAGTTAGATCGGTTGGTTGAACCAGTAGTTGAAGAATACTGAATACGCGAAGGAACGTTGGAAGTGGTTTCAAAACAACATTAGACTAATTTCCTTTTTTCTTTTCTTTTCGAATGTGAAAAAAATAACATATAATTAGATGTTGACCTTTAAAGGGTATAATCCTCATAGGCGCCGAGGGCTATTTCATAAGGTTGTCCTTCTCACAATGTGTAATTCAGTACGTACGTACTGATTATTGTGTCCACATTTCTGACGACATTGATGGGTATTACTGTTACATGTGATTAAATCAGTGTGGCATTAACCATATTCACGTTTATCCTTTAAAAACTTCTGTATTAATTTGATATCTGTGACACATCAAGGCCCTGTTATAAAAGGTTATACAACGATCTCATATATTTGATGGTGCTGTACAAACGCCACTGGTGTTAAAGTTATTTATGGGGTTAAGGGTTGTCCAGTCGCTGTGGTTGAAGGTGGTACGCGGAAGACCGTGGTTCAAAACTTGGCAATTGTACAATAAGACAATTGAGTGTAGTTTTTCGCCGCATTCAGCAATATTCCAGCAATATGACTTATTGACACCAGATATGGGCTTCAGGGCTAATCTTAAAACTTGCATAACATTCATATCTAGTGCTAGAAGTTAATATATTTCTCTATTCTTGGGTGTACATATCTTTTAATCTGATTTGAAAAAATGCTAAGAAAACTATCTGTGCATCCTACTTCTAAATAGACCCGATCATAACCAAAATACTGACACTCTCTGCTTGTTTCTGGTAAGGGTGACAAAGTGACAAGGTACCGTATTTTTGCCATTCATTATACTCCATAAACGATATTACAACACGCCCTTGTAAGTCGGTAAGGCCAAATGTAAAATAAGTGAGTAAGTTATGATACGGCAATATTTCAGCCATATCGTAACTATATCAAGTTATAGATTCATAATAATTAAAGGTAATTTATAAAACCTATCTTTACGAAAACTAGATTATCACAGATATGAATTTAAAACAATTAATTAAACCCATATATTTCAACTATCCGTGACAATACAATGTAAAAAACAGGCTATAGATTGCCAACAACTGAAAGTAGATCACCATACCAGGGACAAATGTAAAACATCTCACGAAATTAATTGAACCGGGCGCAAAAGGTAAGACAATGGTAAAGGTTTATTTGAAAGAATCAGCGATGACAGCTGGTCAAGATCTCGTATTAAATATTAGCATTGTCGTATATACAGGGTACCCTATTTTGATATATTTGCTCATGTAGAGACTCTGACTCATACCAAGTTCAGTAATATATCAGGTGTCAGAAGTTATAATGGAATGGTTCGCTGCCAAACTGAACGTTGTTATACAATGACACTTTCCTCATCAGGACCAGCAACCGCTAGTCTAGCTCAACGGTGTACACTAATTGCTATATTCACCACTGACAGTAATAATACAGCGTAGCCCACGTTTGTCGAAGCTACCAGACTGTGGCGTGGTCATATCTGAAAACCAGACATAGATTTGTAGGTAATCCTTGTCTTATGTCACAACTGAAGTTCCTATCGATCATCTTGAAGTAGGCTTACCCCATGTTGTGTACGATCGCTGTAGTAGTTATTTAAAAGGCGACTGGAAACACCGATCGAATTCCGTCTCTGTGCGGGAGTCAAAGTCGCCAGTACGTCAAGTATTTTACCAAATATTTCAATGAGGAACATTTTACATAAATGACCAGGATGACGACATGAACTCTTTATGAACAGAGACAAGAACGCATTATTTGTAAACGTCCGCTTTGGTAGTTAATGGACGTAAAATCCTAGTTAGAATTGAGCTTCAGCAACCTATGCTTGTCTTTATAAGAAGAGACTAACACGATCGGGTGATCAGGCTCGCTGAGGTTGGTTGATGCATGTCTTCGTTTCGTTTATACAGGTTAACAAATGGTCTCACGAGAAACATATGGAGGATATCTAAAAATGAAAGAAATGGTGTCAAAGAACTAACGTTTTTATACTGTATGTACCTAGGTTTGTTCGATGAATCGGCATCATCTGATTCCATGACGGCAAATGAAACCAGAAATTGGCGTGCCTTTGCATGTGTTTGTGACGGGTGCCACTAGTTCGTAAGAATAAGGTTGTTATTTCATAGGTATTCGAGGACACATGCTTATATTACAGTTGGTATTGCACAATGGATCTTAGCAGAGTTTGCTAACATATACTTGCGCATGTGTTTTGTTGCTTCTATTTCCATACATGAAATATAATGCGTCAGTTTCAATTCGACATTTATGTTCATCATAAAAGTGTTATTAAGTGTGAAAACGTATCTGTTTGTTTATGAAATAGAAATACAAGGAATAACGTCTAGATCCCTGTCATTTTATCCAGTCTAATGTTGTTTAAGCGAAACATGAAGATACGCACGGTAAGAAGCTTAGATGAAATGTGTCACTCTTTGAGATCCTTGATGTATTCAAAACAACTTTGTAAAGGACATTTAAAAGTGTCTACGAAAAATGTAACGAAGGCATGTGGACATTTACAGATATGACGTAGAGGGTGGCTGTAGAAAGCAACTTATCGGGTTTTGAGGACAGAAATTGATCTGGATTATAACCATCATCAGCTGATTACTTGAACACCAAGCCGCCGGCAATTCATTGATCTCAGGACCTGCTAAAACCGTCATCAAAGTATGTAAGTGTAAGTAAATGTATTAGTTTATGAATTTGGACACATTAGAGAAATTGCGAGCTGCTTAATAATTTCCCACAGTTTGTATTTTTGAGCTTCGTGACTGACTTGCAGCAAGGACACGATAAGTGATCATTATTAAGGGTCACAATGTTTCAAGTTTTGAGTGTGGGTTTTGGCTCGCATCTCGCATCATATATGTTCAATGACTATAGTGTTTTTAGCGGTACGCCTTTTTGAAAGCACTTCAGAGTTGCCTTCCTTGGCTGGCTTTATTTTGTTTTGACTTCCGGTCGTATGTTCGAGAAATTCCCGTAACGTTCTGAGAGAATAATGATGGAGCCAAGCTTTGCTAGAATGCTTGAGAACTGTGTAAGAGCTATCCAAAGGCTGGTTGTTGCGTTATACGACACGGGACTTTTCACATGACTGGATTTATACACGTCTGTCTGTCATCGTCAAGCTGACCTACATCGTCAAGACTGACCGCGTTCGTCAATATTCAACTGTTGTCATTGTAAACAACCTTCAATCAGTATATCTATTCTCACTGTAAATGTCAAGACTCTGTGACCCAATATTTTAGATTTGTGACTCAACTGCATTGTACTAGAAATCTGTATTGTTATTCATTGTAGTTTGCTCATTGTTTGTTCAATATATTATTGAATAGTTTAGACTTGTCTGTTTTCTATTTTGCTGGTTCAAAGGGGACTTTTAAACATTTTGTCACGGCAAATTATTAACCGTAACAACATTTACACGCATGGACCAATTCCATTTCCTGACCTTTCTGGATCTGCAATATACGGTTGATTATATTGAATTTCAAAGCTGAAATATGTAAGTCCTGTAGAGAAAAGTAACCTAATGTAACTAAAGCGTGTTTAGCTGTGATAATTCATTGTCATTTGTCTCTATTTCAAACGTGTGATTATATACAATACTGAAAACCGATGTGGACTGCCGATCGTTAATGTTCATTAAGATAATGATACTCTTCAACCGAATATAATAGATCCCGTTAACATAACATTTTCTTCTTTAAGGACAAAGTTAATACCCGTTAATACTCCGCAGATGTCAATACGTTAGAAGCCTTTATTTCCTCGCTAATGAACTTGCAGTGTCGACATAATTGCCTTTGCCATCGATGCTGTTTGAATAACGAAGCTGTAGATCTTGATTTGTCACCTTGTCAAACACAGCTAATGAAATCAATCTTGTGGTGGCAAGGCCAGTAGGATCATCTGCAGTCAGCATAACGGAAACATGAAAAGACCTCCGTGAAGGCTTCTTCAGCAATGCTTGTCTAACAGAATTGAGTCATCATATTCGTATAGTTAATATTGATGATGTCAATTACTGGATTGTCTGATCTAGACACGATAATTTACAGATCGCCTTCATATACCTGGACTATTGCAGAGTAAAGCTAGTTGCTTAGTTGGTTTGTTGCTTATGGCCGTACTCAGCAATATTCCAGCTATATGGCGGCGGTGTGTAAATAATCGGGTCTGGACCAGGCAATCAAGTGATCAACAACATGAACATCGATCTACACAACTGGGATACGATGACGTGTGTCAACCAAGTCAGCGAGTCTGACACCCCGATCTCCTATGCCTTTTACGACAAGCATGGGTTGCTGAAGACCCGTATCTTCACGGTCGCTGAGCAAAGCATCGAACAAGCAAACAAACCAAAACACAAACAAATGATCCATGTCACTGATCTGCGACGGCGTGGGAAAAAGCTCGTAATATCAATTCAATTCAATGCTTTATTGTACGAAAGGCCATAGGCCCATATACATTCGAGTTACATATATTTCTGATGCAGAACAAAAATACAATGATGTTAACAATAGGATGTTTTGCGTAATATTAAAGCATGGTGTATAAACAGAGCAATTTGGAATTGGATTGTGGGGTTATTGCAGGATAACAGCTTCTTAAAACTATATATAGACATGGAGTTGTATGGAGGTAAGTACTTAGATCTAAGTTGAGCATAGATGGGGCAGACATATATGAAGTGGTACTCGTTTTCAACGCCATTGTTACATATTTTGCAAAGTCGGGCTGAGTTCTCGATGCCGTGGTGTCTTCCTTTGTTCACTTCCAATTCACTGAGACCAAGTCTGAATCGTATAAGGGTATTTCGCAGAGATTTAGGTTTAATGTTGTGGAGATAGGTTTCAGTTTCAAAGATCGATTTTATATTGCGATATGTGTTGTATCTTGAGCTCTCCTCAAGACATGAATGCCAATGCTGTTTGAACATGTCAGTGGCGCGAGTACGAAATATTTTCAGAAAGGAATGACAGTCGCCCACTGTTTGTGAAGTCCATACAAGGCCGAATCCATAGATGAATAGTAAGTTCTTTATTGATGAAGCCCACGTGTTTTTGCCGATTTCGTGTAGGTGGTAAAGCATGTTATACGCTTTCTGCGGTAAGCGATGGGCTGGCATATGAATCAGTTTAATCCAGTAGCGTAAGCATCTTGTGTGGGATTCGATGTACAACGGGTAGCGTCCACACTCACCATACACCATGTTATTAGGGGTGGAGAGTCCAACATTTAAGAATTTTTTGCAAGCGAATAAATGTAGTTTTTCTATTGAATGAAAACAGTGACATCCCCATATTTCGGAGCCGTAGAGTAAAATAGGTTGAATTTGGACGTCGAATAGTTTACAAAATATTTGGGGTGTTATGACATCAACTTTATATAAGATTGATTGAAGTTCACAAAATGCCTTCTTCGCTCTGGTTGCTAGTTGCTGTACAGATTTACTCAGGTTTAAGGTTTGTGTAAACATGATGCCAAGATACTTGTACTCTTTTTACTACGTTGATTCTGACTCCTTTATATGTCCATCTCTCCTTTGCTGCGACTCGACCGCCTTTCCTGAATATGACAATATTCGTCTTATCCAGATTAACTGTTAGCTCCATATCAATCACTGGATATCTGGTCCAGATTAGACTGCTGTGATACAGCTTGAATATTGATAAATGCGACTTTAAATAACAAACAAACCAAAAAACTCCCGCTTTAGCAGTGTTTTTCAGATTTTATAACGAAACATACTTAAATACTAAAGAAGTGGAATAAAGAAGTCTTCTCTGCTTAACTTCTGAGATTACAGTTTCCAGTAAACGGAGGACTTTGAGGAATGTGTCAGAGTGAAGTGCTATATCTGAATATAGGATGTGAGGGAAGGATGTCTTATTCCACAAGTGTTTGTATAACCCGGCTGAACTATCAATGCTAACTTACTTTCAATGGGGGGATTTGGCGAAATGTAAATTAATGTCGATTGTCGTAACACTGAACTTCAGTATGCTATACTTTTGGCAAATATCCGAGATCTTTTGCCAACAATACTCTGTGAAGAAATCAAGAATAATGATTTATCGATTCTTTTCATACGCGGATTCCTATGTTAAATATATATGAATAGTTAATGCCGAAGGCAGGAAGAATATTTGTCATCATCCAAATTAAATATTGATCCCTTTTGAGCAGAAGCGGATTTGACAAAGAAAAAACTGGTTATCGAACTGTGACTAAACCGCCAGATGAAGATGACAAAAAGATGTCTTCAGGTTAAATCTTTTCAGAAAATAGCCAGACTCCTCCTGGCATTGGTCTCCTTGAATGGTGCTTTCTGGTTCTGTTCTAATCAAGACGTCCATTAAGACTCTCCTTGAGGACATTGTCCGGATCTATGAAGGGTAAAGTCCACAAACAGCACTGATAAGACAAATGTAATCCCTCCATCCCACGGACATCAGCATTGCAATGGTATCCATTTTATTGCGTTTGAAGGTATTTTTAGGTATATATATATAAAGAAAGTGATGAGAATACCGAGCGTACAGTAATACATATATAAGAAGTTTCTGAAATAATCACACGACACGGATCTTCTCCAACATGTTTCACTTTTATCTCCCTGAAACTTCAGAAACTTCTTTTATATATATGTATGGCTAGTGAGTATGGTTTTATATATATATATATATATGTATGTATGTATGTATGTATGTATGTATGTGTATGTATATATATCGCATTGCATGGTCGTACATTGATACATTATGTGTGACTCTATTAGGATAGCTACAACTGATGACAAAAATATAATTAGGTTACTGAATGGTAACTAAGTGTGGGAACAGAGAAGTGCTAGTGAGTATGGTTTTATGCCGCTTTTAGCAATCTTCCACGGCAAGGGAACACAAGAAATGGGTGAGGTGAGTTGAAATTGCGTTTTACGTCGTACTTGAGAATATTTCGCTCATATGACGACGTGCATGCGTGTGTATGTGTATGTGCGGCTGCTTGTACTAGCCCAGACTTAAGCTGGTTTTATAGTGCTAGCCCACTGAGATACCATGCTGCAGTGAAGCATGAATACCCCACTCAGACACATTATACTGACTCCGAGCCGACCAGTCCTTGTTGTACCCATTAATGCCGAGCGCCAGGCAGGGACCAACAAGCACCATATTTTGGTATGACGCAGTCGGGGATCGAACCCACGACCATCCGCTCTCCGGGTGGACGCTCTAACCACTACACCACGGAGGCGGTGCAAGAAATGGGCTTTAAACATAGCACCCAAGTGGGGAATTGAACCCGGGTCGTCCGTGTGATGAGGGAACGCTTTAACCACAAGGCTACCCCACCGCCCTATCAGAGAAGTGATAAGTTATACCAAGGTTTTACACTTTGTGGTGTGACCCTCCACTGCTGTAAATATGTTAGGACTATAACATTTATATATACTATCTGGAAATGCACTTGGCCCATCATATCTATCCAAAAAACAATTCAAGTGAATTTAAACTTATTATGGTTTTTAACTGCAGAATATATGTTATTTTAATGTTATGGCTAGAGTGTCAAAAATTGCTGACAGCTGAAGGGATGGTGTAAATCCAGCTTGGATCGATGTAGATAGCAAAAGTAATGTAAGTCACCATGGTCCCTAGTATGGTGATCTACCTTCGGCTGTTGGCAATCAAAAGCATGTTGTTTATATTGTATTGTCGTGTATAGTAAAATGTTTTAGATTATATTACTAGTTTTACATTTATATATGTGTTATTCTAGTTGTTTTACTGTCCTTCGTTGGCAGGTTTTTATACTTTACCTATAATTATTATTAATATATGACTTGATATAGTCACGGTATGGCTGAATACTGCCGATGTGACTTAAACATCTTAACTCACTCACTCACCCATATAATGTATTATATCCATTCCAACTGAGAGTGTCACCCATTGGGAATAAGCATATTGGACACAAGTTGATGACGAATGCATTTTAATAATTAAAAATGCAGAAGAGTATGGGATTAAAGTAACAGGGGATCCAGGGAATATGAAACATGAAACAAAACTCTGAGTGAAAGAGTTAAAATTTATAGTCACATCCGCAATATTTAGGAATTCATACATTGGTAATAGATTAATAAAGCTATACAGAACATCTATAGGGACGGTAAAAGTACTAGAATATTTAGATATTAATGTAAAACTGGCATGTAAATCTAAAACTATTTTACTGTTAAAGAGAAATACAAAATAAAAACGGGCTATGGATCGCCATCAACTGAAGTTAGATCACCATCATAGAGACCATGGGGACTTTCAGTCTGACACTGGTAAATAAAATTAAAGTGCCACTATTTTGTTAAATGACATTGTACGTATGGAGATTACTTACCTCATCCAGAAACTGCGACCTCATCTTGTATCTACTGAGCTACTAAATCTAATTTTTAATAGGGCTTACTTTTCTCACTGATAACAATGTTGTAATCAGTGTCTGTAATTTGAAACGGGGCAATGACGCCTCGTAACAATATCCCCTAGAATTCCGTTTCGTTCGGTCCGTCAATTTTGACATTTGCTAACCTTGCCAACGCTAAAGTAGCTTCCGGCGGGTTAATTTGTAATTCGTGCCCCACTAATTATGAAAGGTCTTACTTTTTCAAGTGAAAGAAACCATCGTCTCGCTGGCGGCACTCATGCTATTTTGGAGGAACGGGCAGTGAAGCTTCGAAGTAGGATTTTGTCGTGATATTTGCGTAGGTTCTGTTACTTTTTCTGTAGTCTCAATTTGCAACAAGATGCTTCTCGTCAAATGTAGTGCAGTGTTTTTGTCACTGTACATGTATGGCATGGTTCTAACGTTACATGTGTGACTCATACTGTCCATTATAGCACTTTCTGAGACTTAGTTCTTGAAACTGAATTTCTTTATGTCATGGACCTCGAAATTTGAGCTGGTTAGCTGTCCTGTTTATTGACTAGAATGAGCTATTGGATGGAGTGAATCCACTTTGATATTTCATTAGAAATATTTTTGTCGAACATATGTGTTTCTGAAAGATGTTTTTAAAATATATTAATTTAATCCAATGTGTTTGGCATATGAGTCATAGCTTTCACAAGTAAAAATGTGTCTATGATAAAAAAACAAGGGTATCGCATGCCGTTAAGAAACAAAACCCGAGTGGGCACGGTTTAGAGTAGATGCTAGCTCCTTGTGGTATATAGCGTCAATATCAGAGAGGCTGGTTAGTCTATGTGACTTGCCTACATGAGCGTGAACTCATTTCTTGTTGTTGTTTTTATTCGGTGTATTTCGTCAAGTCTCATCTAAGCTGTGGGGCAAAATAAAGTATTCACCTGGCAAACTGGATTAGACCCGAAAAACATAAAAAAGACTTTTAAACGTTTCTAAGATGAATATGTTACGTCTGTGGAAAACAATACCCCGCCCTGATTATCCTGAGATTCAATCAGTCGTAAAGGGGAACTTAGCCGTAAAAGGTTTATGCACGACTGGATTTTAAATAAACCATACACTCCAGTGAGAAATGAAACGGAAAATTCATTTATTGATTTTGAATTACTGTAACACTGTTTCAGATATTCCGCTGCTTACAGGTAGAGCAAACGTCCAGGAAAATGATTTGTTTCTCGACATAGTCGTGTTTGTCTTGGACCCAAGATTTCAATAATTGTCTCAGCACAGATAAATGCCACTGTGCTTATGCAAAATCTCGAAGACTTCAGTTCACAAGCCAGAACATCGTCCATGTTCAAGTCAATTTAAAACGTCAGTGTAAACGAATACCCAGTTTAGACTACCGTCAGAAACAGATTCCTGCTGGCGCAAAAGGCATGATCTGTGAAATTCAATGTATTCATGTTGCATTTGAGCACTTTCAAAAATACAATGAGTATTCATATTAATATTATAAATCGGTCGTTAGGGATGACACGAGGTGTCCACTGACACCCACCAGTCTCATAATTAACCTACAAAAGTAAATGCCTCCGCTAAAATATTACACATGTGTTGACAGCTCCGTTTCATTGTACATCATTTCGATACGTCTCCATTTTCGTCCAGAACAATACAGAAAATAATAGCGATTCTAAGCGACACATGGAGACAACGAGAAATAGTCCATACAGTTGGCAGTCAAGAATAAATGAACATACGTTTATTTTTTTGAGTGAAAATCTAATTAAAAAATGAATGGTTAACGCAACATAAAATTTTATAATACACAGAATACCCGTATGAACCTGTCCTGCGCTGCAGTTATGACATGTGGCCGACCGGATATGGGTAGGCTACGTGTTGACCTCTGATAACTGCTCCATAGTCTTGTAGTGTTGCTTGGCGATAAAACCTGGCTACGGTCCCTGTCAGTCGTGGCATGTTTTCATTTTTGTATATTGCTTGTTTTCACTTTTCACTTGCTGTATAAATGGAAACCCAATTCATGATGTACGTACATTTTATTTTTATTTTACTCAAAACACTGTAATCACTGTCTGAGATTCGAAATGACGCCACGTAACAATATCCCCCCTAGAATTTAGTTTCATTCTGACCTCACTTTTAACATTTGCCAACCATACCAACTTAATTTGTCAGGACCTGTAATTCGTGCCCCACAAATTCTAGAATGTCTCACTTTTCCAAGTGAAAAAAGAACATATTAGTCTCACTGGCGGCACTCAGATTATTTTGGGAGACAGCCATTGAAGCAGCGAAGTCGGCTTTCTTCATAGTATTTACGTAGGTTCTGTTATATTCCGGAAATGTCAGCATCGCTTTCGTTTCATATTGCAACGAAGTATTGCAGGTTTTTGTCGGGGGATACATACAACATGGTTCTAACTTCACAAGCAAAATCATTATTGCACTTTCTGAGACTTGATTCTTTGAAACCGAATATTCTCATTTTGTGAAATTCATTATTTGACCTGGGTTTTTGAAATATCAAAGACTACCTCGGATGCTTTTCTATAAATCTAATACAAGGTGTTATAGCTGTCCCACATATATAAGGTGTCTTCGATCAAAAAGGCAAGAATGTCGTATATTATTTAGAAAAAAAGTCGTGTGCACATAGTTAGAAGAGAGGCTTAGCTTCCAGTTTTCAGCAGTTCAGTAGAGCCAATGTCAGTGTGGTTTGTCACTCTCTTGTGACTTGTGACTTGGCAATGTGTGTGTCAATTCCCATATGCAATGGACCAATGTTTGTGACGGGACTAAACTGCCGGGAAAATGAAAGTATATAAATGGAAAATTGGATGTGAACACAACTACATAAAATATGAACCGTTTCATTTATTTAGGCAATTAAAACCCTGTAACACAATGGGAAAGGCCATTATAATACAATGACAGGTACCCTTGAGAGCACGAATCGATAGAAAAGTCATCCAGGGAGATTGCATCAGAGGTCACAAAGACTAATATACGATTGATTGTCCTAGGCACGTCAAGTGAAGGAAATTGCACCCGAGTCAATCACAACAATACATCCAATCACAAAGGTGCGAACAGGCAAATGCAAAAGGTACCAACATCACAGAGGCGAATAGACCCGAATTCTCAAGGTAAATAAACCAGGATCTCTAAGGCAAATGGACCTGGAGAAATAAATGGATAATTATGAACTATTATCACCAAGGCAGAAGAACGTGAATCACCCTTGACCAGACACACATAACATGTGTTTATCTTGAAGGATTGGCATTGTGTCTGAATGAAGTATGTGGGGTGAGCATTTTGCACTTATTTTCTTAATATCAACCCGTCAGGATCCGGGTTAGAATTGATCTTCAGTAACCAATGCTTGTCGTAAAAGGCGACTAACGTGATCAGGTTGTCTGGCTCGCTGACTTGGTTGACACATGTCCTCCTATCCCTATTGCGTAGATCGATGCTCATGCTGTTGATCACTGGATTGTTTGGTCCTTACTCGATTTTTTACAGACCGCCGCCATATAGCTAGCATATTGTTGGGAGCGGCGTAAAACTATACTCACTAACTCAATTAAATACCACTGCAATGTCCTCATATCTAATTTGAAGATACACGTGATGCATGCACAGCGGACATGTGAAACAGTAAAGTCAGTACAGTAAAATGTACTATGCATTTGAATGAGTGACATCGCTTTGAACAGTGTTCTATTTTTGCACTGTGTATCACCTCATGGATGATACTGGATGGAGTGATGCAGGTCTAAGATGTTTACCACTTTCATAATCCCGCAGGCATGGTAGTATGGTATAGGGCTGATAAGGCTACATTTGCTGCGGGCCTATGGGGCGCACCTCGAGGTGAACATACAACACAAACAGCAGGCACAATCATTTTATTTCATCCATAAACATTTATACCACGTATTTCCTTTTCAAATACCATAACAGGATCTTTGTAGAATGTATCCAGGAACTGACTCGCACCACTGAATCCTTTGAAAGGGACCCAGTATTCGCATATAGCGTTTGACCAGCAAATGTTATGCCAACCTAAAATGTACAGAATGCGACGAAACTTGGGATCGGTCTTCATTATAGTTAAGTAATTGTCAGTCCAGAAATTCGTATGGTTGTAGATTCCATCATCGAACATACCAGCCTCTGCTATAGCTGGAATCTTCCCTCTTGTTTCGGCTATGTCTACAAGGTTTGCAAGATTGGTCTTCAAGGCTTCCTTTGTTGTGGTCGGGGTAAATTTGTAGTAGTAGTCGACAGCAATGATGTCAATGTAGTCATCCCCTGGGTACAGCATGTGAAAATTGTCTGTGTTCGACAAGCACTCGATGGCAAAGTTGTACAGGAAGTTATGGACCCCCTTCACGTCCCTGAGGTAGGAAACGGTGTATTTCAAGATATCTCGTACATCCTTGGGTGTGTTGTGGCACCTGTTGTTCATGCCCCACCAGAACCAATCACCGTCCATCTCGTGGAACAGTCGGTAGATGATGGGGATGGACTTCCCATTAGCGTCCTTCAGGGTGTTGGCCCAGGAAGCGATTTTGTCCAAGTTGGCCTTGTAATTAGCATGGGCATCCCCACCGGGCAGTGAGCGCCTGAGTGTGTGGATCACAGTGCCGTTGTCCCAGCTTAGTCTGAAGGATCCCCCAGACACTGGGTTGTTGTTGTGCTGACAGACGGTAATAACCTGACCTCTGGCGTGGGCTTTCTTCACCAGGTAGGTCACAACTTTCATTTCGTCGGCGTCGAAGTTTTTAAAATCGAAGCCCACGATAGCAGGATACTCCCCAGTTACACTTCGTATGTCTGATAACTCGTCATCATCACCACCATCTACTTGTGAAGTCTACAACATAAATGTTTCCGTTCAACACGAAATGTGTTACTGATATTTTGTACACAAATGAAATGAAAACAGTTGACTGACAATGTATCTCATCTGAATATGCCTTTTAGATCATTACGAATTGTGTAACTGGTTATTTGTGTACACCAATTAAAATTAAATGAAATCAGGCCCATGGCATTGTAGTCGATCTGAATATGCATATGACAGACTTCACATTCAGAGTAATATGTTTCATAAAAATACTAAGGACTTTTATCTCATTGTACGGTTGTAATGATTTGAAACAGATATGACGTTAAGGTAGCAAACCATACATGACACGTATTCATTTCCAGTTTTATAGTCGAAAAAGAGGAAGGAAAGGAAGAAACGATGTTTGCATGTGTGTGCCCACTACTTGCAGAATATATTTCAAATTTCACTCACAGTAATAAAATCGGCTTCAAATGATTTAAATACATTTTGATATAAGCATTAGGTGTGAACAAGTCTGTAAAGCATCAGCTTCATAGATCTAGTGGAGGTATTGATAGAGGTGAAATGCCAGCTCAATGGTCCGATCAAGGACATTGTATGAGAACAATCACAAGAAACTAAACATAACAAACAACAGAAATAGAATGACAAATAGAACAGGTCAATAAATAATGAAATAACTTGCACAATAGATGAATAACTCACTAAGTCTCCACCCCACATTTCAGAGGTGATTTGGTCACAACAACTATAAGGAGTGTTACATCAGTATGGATGACCAACAGCATTGCTTGAAGCGCATACGGTGGCAGTCAGAGAGCCATGTGATCATATTCTTTTAATGAGGATTGCTAATCCATGCTGATTATTGGAAAACAATGTTGCATATCAATCAGCATTGAATCATGTATGATGGGTGATCTTTTTCGCACAAAATGTGACTGAAAATGTTTTCGTGACATCTTTAGTACACCATATAACGAAACAAGAATGTCTAATTTACAAAAGGCAAGGAAGAATCACAGACATAAAGATAATGAACACGACAACAGAAACCAAGCCTTCGATGTAATGAACGAACATATTTACCAGGCTATTGTCAAGCTATCCACTGCACATGAGGTCAGTTATTACAAGAAGAGGACTAACATATATTGTAGCTGTCCCGTTTCTTCAATTAAGGCCGGCTTCTCAGATGGTTAAAACGTTTGCACCTCACAACGAAGCCCTGTGTCTGGTACCACCATCGACCACCGCTAGTGTTGACTGTATCTTTACTGATCGGCTCAACGATCATGATCTACATTTTTTAATCTATAAAATATCATTCAGGTAAATTTATAAGATGTCACTAGCAGTATTTACCGTAAATTTCCAAAATGGTTTCCAGGCATGTGCGTACTTGGTAACCTGGTAGTTAGGGCGACCAGGAGATATG